CCCTGATATTTTGCCAGATAAATGCTGGATACTCACATTTCAATATATTGCAGACTTAGAATGTACAAAGCTAGAATTAATACAATCCAAACTTGGGAAAGGATTTCCACAGCTATTAGAAATATACTTGATTTTTAAAACAGTAAAGTCATACTGTTTATAGTGTATTCTAAGTTACTGTGTATTTAAACTAGCATAACAAGAGCTCTGGGTAAACCTGTATGACTGTGTTGGTATTGAAATGCGAATTATGATGTGGAAGTTTGTATATATTTGTTTTGTTTTTTGTTTTTATTAGTCTATTTGGAAAAATTAAATAAAAATGTTGATCACAAAAATACTAAAAACTGTGATAGGCACACCTAAATACCATAAAGTCAAATAAGTGAAATTAGTGAAGTCAAGTAGTTAATATTATATATTAAGTAGTTAAGCACAGAACTGTTGGCAGAACACAATCTAAACAGAGTGCTAACCATATAGGAATTCTACTATTTTAAACAGTAACAACAAATAAATAAAGGCCACCTGAGACAGAAATACACAAGAGCAGAAAACATTAGTGCGGGGATTGTACTTAAAAAGAAAAAAAAAGATTTTTCCTGTGTTAAAGGAATTCCTGGAAAAAGCTGAATGTAGCGGATTAACAATAATGCCAGAAAGCTCTTTATGTAGAAGCATTTAAATGATCATACACTGTACCAGTTACCCTGTTAATGGACAAGAAAAAAGGCAAAGAAAATAATAAAAAAAGTACCCTTTTCTGCTACTGAAAGGTTGGGGTCACTGCAGGGTTTGCAAGGGCCAATCACCTGCTGAAGAAGGGCACGCTGGAAATTTGTAGGCTGGAAAATATTGAAAATATGATTAGATACAAAGTGAGAATTCTAGTCTAGATGAACAGATCAAATATGCACAAATGAGCAAGGAGTTTACAAAAACAAGAACACAGGCCTATCAGTGCATCTTTATATATTACCAAATTGAAGAAGAGCCACAGATTCATCTAGAAAGTTTCAGTTTATAGTTATTCAAATTCTGGAAGGCTCCATTGCCTTAAATATGCCAAAAAAGTCTCACCATACAAAAAAAAGCAAAACCCAAGGGATTGTCCAGATGAGATTTAATTTTTGTAGAAGTGTGTTTGCTCACCAAAATTGCTAGCCTGACTGGAACAATATCTTTCATCCAGTCAATGCCAGAACAAATTACAGATTTTAATGGACATCGTGGGGGCATTTTGCACATTTGGTTAGTAGGAAATGGAATGACAAGCAAAATGGAGGAAGCAAGGTATAACAAAAACATCCACACAGGGCCTCACATGTAACATGCTGTCAGCTGTTTTATCTTGATGGATTTCATTATCCTTTTTGGGGACTGATGGCTCTTTTCTGGAAAAACATACGCACACACAGAGAATGGCAAATCTACGGCTGCTCAAAATCATTGTCTCACTGTGTAATAAAAGGTGCCTGGTTTTCCCTTCGGATGCTCCCACTGTACCTGTCCGTTCTCAGTCATGGTGGGGTACATGGCACTGCTGGGCCGCTCGCGGTGGGGGGGCAGCAGCATCAGCATCTCCCGGTTATGTCTGTATTTGTCTGGAAGTGAGGGGGAGCCTGGGGTAAAGAACAGCAATTAAGGCTCAACCTCAGTGAATTATGGGTCTAGCAAAAATAGGAGTGGGCTTCCAAAACCACCTCACTGAGAGAGCCATCGGCATCTGGAACAAAAGATCCAGACACACTGCTGAAGCTGACTCCCTAGAATCCCTCCAGAATGGGCTTGAAGATGGCTTGGATGGATAAGGCGCCTTCAACTAAGCAACATGAGCCAAGGAGTCACCTCTTCTGTGCCTCAAACGTGTTTTAGAAACAGGCATTGGAGATTTGGGTGAAGTCTATTACAAAGTTGAAGAATTAAGTATGGAAGTAAACGTATTAACAGACATTTAAACTATATGTATTTTTCTCTCCTAACACTCGTTCGTTTTATCAGGAAACAGTTAAAATGTTCGGGTGAATTAACCAATTTAAGACAGGGGGAACCAGTACTGTATGTACAGTATGTCTGCTTCTATGTAGATGTAGATATTTTTGCCAGAACATGACTTCTCATGTGTGAGGAATTTATTGAGCCTGGGTGCCAGACTATGGCACATCCCTGTGTTGAGCCACATACAGGGTAATGCTGGGTTGTTACCTCTTGCACTGGAAGGGGCGGAGTTTATCATCTGTGATGGGGCAGAGTGGGTTGAGCTCAGGCTAGAGGAGGAAGGGCTTGGCTGGGAGACAAAATAAGGAATAGAGATTAGCAAACTGAGAATTATTTTCAGCAACATTCATGGCCCCACAGCGTGAATTTGAAAGGACATAAGAGTCAAGAAAGTGTGCTTATCGGACATTCCTGTATGGCAGAGATTAAGGCAAACGATGGCTTCGATATGCAGTGGAAATCTTGAATTTCCATTTGAAAACACAATTTTGAAACTGTAATATGATCACACTGCATTCATTTTCTTCCTTAATCATGAACTAGTTTCTACAAGGGCAGTCTGTGTGAGGAGGTACGTAATATTTCCATCCATGAATCTCATTTCTCCCTGCGTCTGGTGAGGGTGTATGTCGGCACCTGCATGCGGTAGAGGTCTTCAGGAGTCTCTCCTGCCATCCCATCCGTCAGGATGACCAGGTTCCCTGTCTCGCTGGATGTGTGGGAGGACAGGGAAGACGAAGAGTGCCGGATTGACCCTATCAAGTTCAGTGGGCTACAGGCAGGAAGATTCGGGAAGTGAGAGAGAAGGAGACAAAGTATGGAACAGATACCACCCTTAATTACTGTATTTAAAAGCAAAGTACATACAGTATTTTCCTGAAAGTTTAGCGCTATTTCTTCAAATACTGATGGACATTGAAGCATTTTTTTGTATAATCTTTTTTTGGCATATTATACTAAGCCCAATTTGCATTTGGGACATTCTACAGTATATCAGCAGGTTCTTACAATAGGAGATATTGTGTTACCAGTACAACTACAAGTACTACTGCTACTGTACAGTATATCTCTCTACTAGGGGCAGTTCCATACCATTGTAAGATGTTCACAGATCCTACAGTATATACAGTATGTCATATTTGTAACTAATCTATAGATTAATATATGCTAATGAATCGTTTCAGGTTGCTCATTTTCAGCATATTGGAAATCTATTTTTCAATGCTTTTACTATAATTGAAAGAAGCCTATATTTGACTAAATTTAGAAATGTATGTGTATTAAGAGAAAATGCACAGATTTAAGTAAATGAGAAAATTATTTTATTTTTACATTATTCTAGAAAAATATCTGGAGTTTATTTTAGGGGATATTTTTTACTGGCACAATGCTGTCAATAAATTACTCCAACAAAGGGCAAGATAACTGCAGAGCAGAGTTCTGGGGAAGGACTCACCTGTGTCTGTGCACTAGTTTGATGCTCTCTGGGCTCATTGGGCTGTGGGAGGCCAGGATTCCTCGGGGAGTACTGTTTCCAGAGCAAGCAGGACTCAGCTTGTCCAGGCCAGGTAGGCCCTGCAGGGCAACATAAAAACACTACTCTGAATATTCACATTATTCCACTCACAGACACTCCAGGGACAGAACTGATGGCCAAAAGCACAACGTTTGTAACTGACAGCACAACTTACATGGCAAAGGCTGCTTCTCATCATCTGAAACTGATCTATCAGCTTCTTATGAAGGGGACGCATTTCTGGGTGCACAAGCTTCTCGTGGACTGCCAGTCCCACTCCCAGGATGTGAACCTAATATAGTCAAAAGACCCTTCCTTTAATAATCAGAATGGCCTGTAGAAGACCTGCAGTAGTTATGTGTACAAAATAAAGTAATTACAGCTAGTGATGCACAGTGATCCACACTGGAGTCTAAAGAGAGACTCTTTCAATACTCCAAAATCATTGAAATCTCTGGAAGGAAAAGAAACTAGTGCAAAATGGGTTTGTGAAAAGCAAATGAGGAATGTGAGAAATATACAATTTTCCTACCAACATAAAAACTGCTCTAGCATTTCAAAGCAAAAAAATTTAAAAGACGAGCAAGGCTGTTAACATTCTGAAATGGAATGGATATAAAAGACACAATTACCTGTTCCTGCATGAGGTCTTTGAGCTGTGTGATCTTCTCCGTGTCCTCAGGGTGACTGGTTATGTACTCCTTATCGAAGAAAGCCTGAGAAAACATCAATTAACTCAGCGAAGCATAAATTACCAAACCCCAAGTGCAAATTAAATCATTATTAAATCCTGCTCTGTTGACCAACTGGGACAATTGTTATTCCACAAAATAAATAAAATAAAAATGTTCCAAATATGTGAAAAGCCTCAGCTTGCATTTTTTTTCACACACTCTATCTCACTTGCTTCATCTTAGAACCAAAACAAGTCTGTGTCTTGTTCAACCTGACTAAGCCTTTCAATGCTGTCTGTACTCTTGTGAACAATTAGCTACAATGGCCTTTTTTCCTCTCATCCTCCTTAATATCACCATAGTACATCAAATGAATTCTGGTTTTACTCCTTGTTCCTAAGTATGCCCCATCGTGGATGCTTTCTTTCAATCACACCACATCCACTATGTGTCAAAGAAATCAAAGGATTTGTCAATATGTAAAAAGAATCAAGTAGTATAAAGGATCTTCCTTGATTATGTGTGTAAACTCAGCAATGTACATCCATTTTTCTCCACCGTGGTCTTGTCCGACCAGTCTGCCTGTACTGTAAGTGCTGATAAAGATGTTCAGCTGAGCTCACCTCTTGGTAGCGGGCAATGCCCCCGTTGACTGCAGCATCGATCACCCCATTGAGACACATACTGAGTAGGTTGATGTTGCCGTGGAGCTGCTTGTGCTGGTACTGGCTAATCAGGGTGCGAAGCTCATGGTTTTTATTTTCTACCACATAGATGGCATTCTCCAGAGGACTGACCTCCACCTGAAATGCATGGTTCACCACACAGTGCGGACAAAACTGTTAGAATGAAGAAGGGCAGAAAACGTCTCTCTTGAGTGAAACTCCTGATTTGTCTTCCCCTGTTTTAATTTCTAACACATTAAGTCATTTTTTTTAGAAACACACTATCTGTACTTGTGCACACAGGCTTGGCAGTAAGACTGATGAGGTAGTTATGACAATTCAATATTCTTGTTTTCTAACGGATAATATTAGGACACATATCATGGCATACTGTAGCAGCAAGGGTTCTAAGCATTCTGAAAATATATATACAGTATGAAGCCAAAGGTACCGTATAAATACACCTCTCCTTGAGGATGTGCTTGTGCTTGCTGCACATACCTCAATCAAATAAAAACTAGATAGATATAAATATAAATGCAAGATCACACATTGCAATGATGCAGCTTAAATGTATGTCCTCCATATCAGCAGCAACTGTGAGTTAAAACAACGAAAAGCTTAAGACATTTATTTATGAGTAACAAGTAGTGGCTGATATAATGCTCACTAGTTAAAGGGAAAAACAAAAAAAAACAAGTTTTGGCTATTCAGTTTTTTTCTTTCATGTTACTTCTAAGACTGGAATTAACCTCGGATTGATCCTTTGCAACTTGTATGCCAATGCAGCTTCCCACTTGAACCACTGATAATACGAACAGCTTTCAACAGTCTGTAAATAAAAACCCCATGTCCAGCACTTTAAACTGGAAGTGATTACTAGTACAACACGTCAAATGCATTATGCTGGGGATATGCACAAGCTGATTATTCGTATCAGACAAATCCAGATACTCTCGAGAAATCTTGGCAATTGAAAGCGTCTTTCAATAAGTATCAATAAGTGTGAATTAAAACATTGCAGGCTTTATCCAGAACATTACAGACAAAATCCTTTTGTCTATAAATGGATAGAAAAGACATGATTGCAGTGTGAATTCAAAAGGAGTAATCTCCTTAAATCCGGCGAGAATACTGAACAAATTACTTTTCTTTTGTTCTTTTGTTGCAAATCAGTCTTTCAGGAGTGCCAGATAAATGGTGGTCACCATTTTCAATGCTGAATATTCACATTCATCCTTTCACACTCATTTTTTAGTCGCTGTGCTTCATTCCAATGGAAACAAGTGGTAGCAGGGAAAGGTCTAATAAGGTGTCTATGTGACTTGTACCAAGTTCATGAGCAAACTGGGATTGTTCTAAGTGTTTTAAACAGGTCCTATACCAGAGGGCTTTACTGGTTTGTTCCACTCACCACCTCTCTCTTCTCAACCTCAAACCACCGGGAAATTCCTGGGAGCGGGTGGGTGAGAATCAGAGTGGTCCGCTCAATCCACAAGCTCTGAAATCACACAGGAGCAGGTCAGTCGCTCAACAATGCTTCTTCATCAGATTTCCCCCCCTTCCAAACATTAATATAACACTAATCTGCAAACAATAATATCGACGTGGTTGAGATTACACCACTTTTACGGTTTTTGATTTTGTAAAATAATCACCTAGCAGGATAATAGAAATCAAATCTGGTATTGCACAAACTCCACTTCACAGTCTAAGTCACCATGTAGATCAAATTTAAAAAACCTTAGTCTTTGAGTGCTAAATTCCACATAGAATTGTCATTCATTGACCAAATGCCTCTGGGGACAGGGATATGCAAATCCTTTGGGCATAATCACACAGCTTAATGAACAATATAATATTCCTATTAATTTCCTATACATATGAAGAAATTGTCCTGCAATTACAATTAACAAATACAATGATACATACTGTACATAAGAAAAAAATCCAATGCCTATTGCAGTTATGTACTTTGATGGACAAAAGGTAGTTCATCCCAATGCTATGCAAGGCATGGATGATGTCTTAACAACTGTATATATTGTAGTTAAACAACAAAAGTATCATATATTGCTTACCGTACGTCCTTAAAAGAATGTAAATATATTAACGTGGGTCTCTAACAGTCCCTGGTTTGAAATGTTTTGTAGTCTTGATGATTTAAGCGCAGTAGATACTGCACCATGTGAGATCTCTAGTCCTGCCAACCAGCAGCCTGCAAGTGTGAAGGCTGCTTTCCGAGGTACAGACCTTAAACTCGTTGTCTCTGTCTTTGGGGCCCTTGTGGAAAGGCCGGTCATAGCGGAAGCGGCGCACATTGTTGACACGGTAGAAACTCTTGATGCGATCAGGAACTCGGTCCATCTGGAGCACGTCCACACTCTCTGGGATCGGGGTCACCGCATAGATCTGTAGATCTGAAGCCTATGGTCAAGGCAACTAGCATCAGAGTCACAAACTCCAGAGAGCACCAATGACAGACCAGGCGATATCACCTTGTCCCAATAATGAATGTCATAATCCTGTTTTCACACAAAATCTCTTGTCTCGTGGTACAAAAATATTGGAATAAACAGGGTCTTTTGTGGCAGACTCTGCTTTGTTCTCTGCTATGCATATACTATAATGTACTCATTCTTTAAAAGGGCCTTGTATTTGTTTCAGTACAAGTCTGTTTCACCCACAACTGCCCCTAAAGTGTACATTAGGATTTACAAGACATTTGCTATGTCTCTGCAAATTTCAGTGGATCAAAATGGATAAACGCCTAACTCTGCAATTAAAATTCAAATAAATTTCTTTTTATAGCAGAAATGATGTCAAGCTTTCAGCCTTCCTATAAATCAGGCAGCTTATAAGAAAATGGGCCAAAAAGGATACACTGAGCATCACACTGCAGAATGGCTTCATCGGGCTGATTGGGGTGCTGCATTGCAATAGCCTGTGGGAATTCTCCCAACATCCTCTGCTGGAAAGCTTCAAGCCGCTCATAGTCATGTCCCCGGCAAACAAACTCCTTGTTCTGTACCAAGAAGAAATGGAGAATGAGGCAGAGAATTTAGCTTGATCACATATTGTAATTTAGGCTTGGGAAACTTAGACTTTTCCAGTCATTTGAAAGTTCCAGCTGGTGCTTCATTAAGTGACACTCAGCAGCGGGGTCAGTCTGAGTTTCGATTCAAAACCCTGCATTACATGGAGAGAAGCTAAAGTTACCCATCCCTACTGCAATATGTCTAGCCCCACCCTTCCTTTAATTTTTTTCTATTTAAATTTGAGTCCAGTCATTCTGACACCATGTAAACTGCTTTGAAAGCATTTACAGTATCTGACTGTATTAACCAGGTCTTAACTGTGATGTTTGGTGTGTAAATAACCAAACCAGTGCTAGCTCTCAAACATGATGGGGTCATGGGGTTGTGTTCACTCACCCGGAGGAAGAAGGGGAATTTTCTGCCATAAAAGCCAACCCTGAAGAACTCGGGCTCAAGGCGCTGCTGCTCCATAATATTGTCATAGTAGGCAGCTTCCATTTTCTGTTTTTGGAAAAAAAGCGAAAACAGTTTCAGCTGTGAAATAAATATTTAATTTCAAATTTCATACAGCAAAATTGTAAGATAGTAAGATAGGCACATTCAAGTAACCTAATTGTCAATATTGCAGGGCTACAGTACCTAACGAAGAAGTTCAAGTAGGTAGCTGCGTGGGCACACATAGGCTGCAAAGGAACAAGTTAAGGTTTATTCCATGCTGAAAAGAAAAGAACACACATGAAGAAGGCTCCACAGCCACAATGTTGTGTCTCTTTTCTTTTCAGCATGGAATAAACCTTTAACTGTTCCTTTGCTACCTAATGCAGGTTTTGCCCATTCCATTCCAGAACTATGCTACAAACAACTCCTTGATAATTATTTTATTTCATCAGGATCAATGTAGCAAGTAATGACTTCTGGAATGCAACAGTTTGAAAGGGCCATTTACTGAAAAGTCCAACCACTGAGGACAGCAGCATTCCATGTCGGAATTCTCCCCAAAAATGGGATTGTAAGCACATGCTTAAAGAGGCTTTTTTTTAGATATATCATAATATCAGTAGTTCTTATTCATCTTTGAAAACATCATTACAAATAACACTTCAGTTAAGTTATGATTTTGCAAGTCTATCGCAACTAGCTATGGTATCGCTTACCCGAATCCAGCTGAGACTCTGGTAGTCATACAGTGCTTCATACTGGAATGCCAGCTCCCGGCACAAGGGGATTCCATATTCCCAGCACTGCATGAAACACAGGGAGTACAAGTCACTCTGGGTTTCCTCACCCGTTAACCGATTCATAAGTCTCATCAGCACAAAAGTAAGCTGGCTACCTGTACATGACCTCATTTTATTCAGAGCAGTCCAAAGAAAATGATAAGAAATTAAGTCTTAACTGAATTATATTATCAGTCCAAACTAGGTTTCAGTGTAGATCTAATTAAAAATAACCATTTAATAAATAACCAAAGTAAAGAAATGATGACATGATAATGTCCTTGCTAGTAATTTGAAATCATGAATGCTGTAAACACAATGCTGTGGCTATAACATGCTTGTAGATTCTGTACAATACACTTTATCTTAAACTTATGATTCAGTCTATAACTTACAGCTCTTGTTTAACCATTTCCTTTGACAAAAAGGCATTAAAGGCATTAAATGGAACAGCCCAATTTTGACAGTCATGAAACCTAATGTGATGTTATCCATAAAAGTAATGGGAGAGTCTGTGGTAAATACCAATGGGTTTACAGTGCCAAAAAGTCAAGTTGGCTTGTCTTTTCAGTTGTAGAGAAACACATTGCAAAGGCTGGTGCTTTAGTACAGAGGTTGTTCTTCGCCTCAGTAGTTCTGACAGTTTTACTGCATAAGTTGCTTTCCTTTAACCTCATTTCCACTCTTCAGTAAATAAATTCTATAAGGTTGGAGTCTGCCCATGCTTCAAACCTAGAACAATACCTCTCATGTCATTCCCTGTATCACTTTTCTGTGAGCTGATGAAAAGATCTTACAATCTTACACTCCCTGTTGTACTGTTCTTTACATCAAAGACCTCATCAAAGTGGAAAAGCTGAAAAATCTTTTTCTCTCAAAATTGAATACAAAAATAATAAATATGACAAGTTTTTACAGACATTTATGGACTTTAAGTTGAAGCTGTGATGATTATGGGTGCTATAAACTCTTCATTTAAAGTGGAAAACCTAAAGGACAGCACTTTTTGGTGTGATCTTATAATTGTTATTAGAGATCTCATAAACAGTGGTGCAGTGGTTGAGATTGCTGCCTTGCTGTGCTGGGGCCATGGGTTCAATTCCTGGCGTGCTATCTTCATGCAGTTTATATAATCTCCCTGTGTTCACATTTTGCGGTTTCCTCCCACAGTCCGAAAACATGCTGGTTGGTTTAATAAGCTTCCCAGTTTAATAAGCTGGGAAACTTGTCCCTGGAGTGAGTGTTCGTTTGTGTCTGTGTGTGCCATATGGATTGTCTGCCTTGCACACTTTGCCTGCCGGGGGTAGGCTCTGGCTCCCCTGCAACCCTGCAGTGGGTAAAGTGTTTAGCAAATTAGGGAATGGATGGATTCTACACATGGTTCAAGTGACCCTTCCAGTTTGAGTTTCCAGTTTGAAGGAAAAAGAGGAAGGTGGAGAAGCTGTAGACTACATAGGCCTGTCGTGAGGTACTGTACCTTGCCCTTGTTGAAGTAGTGGATGACTTTTCGGCAGAGGCCCTCCTTGCGCTGCCACTCGCTCTGGGCCGGGTAGTGCAGGAACTCCCGCAGAGGCCGGTCCTCCCAGTGGAGCAGCTCCCAGTACAGCAGAAGAGTGAAGGCAGCCTCTGAACAGGACAACACCGCCAGGCAAGGCAGCAAAGGGAGGGGGAGAATGATTGAGAAGGAAAAAACGTTTTAGTGGGACATACGGAAAAAGATGAGGTCGAAGAGAGGAAGACAGAGGGTAAAAAGGAGAGAATGAGGGAAAGTGGAAAAAAGAGAGAGAAAAAGTAATAATGGGACAGAGAGACATAAGGTTTGAAAAAAGGATGAATTGGGTGGGAAGGTAAAGATGAGAAATGGACAGAGAGTGAAACCAGTAAAATGCGAGAAAGGAAAACAGAGTGTATGTGAAAAATGGATGGAAGAAAAGGAGAATGGATGGTGGCAAGAAAAAAAAAGAAATAAAGGCAGGGTAATAGAAGGGAGAGAGAATGGAAAAAGAGACAGAAAATACACACAAAGAGTAGAGAAAGACAGAAAGGGTTTTTCATCCACAATGAGTGCAGATTTTAAGGATTGTGAAGAATTACACCTCTGTCCTCTCTTACCTGTGTAGTTTTCTGCTTGCAGGTGCATATCACACAGCTTGTGGATATAGCGAATGTACATCTCTTCCTTATTGATCTCTGATTTGTAGAAGTTCTGGAAAGAAAATGAGGGTGCCTGATTTATTCTCAAGGCCTCTTAGGGTGATTCTGTAGTTTAAACACATATTGACAGCAATAATTCCAAGTAGGCCAACTGAGAAGTGTAGAATATATGGGATAAAGTCTTAAACAGGTAACAAAATATGTTTCTTTGACAAGGGTAGACTTTCTATAGGCACTGCATATGTGAGAACCTAGTTCCTTCAAGACATCTACCAGCTAGATGGAAGACCATTCAGGAGGGAAACCATTGGATACTCTACCCAGATGATTTAAGTATTTAAATATACACACATTTAACAAAATACATTTTTATGTAATATGAAAGGGTTATAAATAATTTTAACATTCAAAAACATACACCTAATTTCTTCCATTTTTTAGAATTTATTACATCTGCTTATTTTTAGTATTTATTAAGTAAGTGAGAGTATTACAGAACTGTCCTACTCAGATTTAAACAAAATATGAAATGCTTTTTCTAGACTAATCTCTATGGAAAGGTATAAGAATGTTTCAGGACAGAGGTTATTAATATTCAAGTGAAAAAATAAGAAGTTGGTAAAACTGTGAGTCTGAAATTGTTTTAATAGTCTCTGTAGGCTGCTTGTAATGCAGAGAACTGAGCAGATAGAAATGCTAATGAACGATTCCTTCCAGCTATTATAGGGAGTATTTGCAACACATGGATGCATGGTAACTGTGATGAAGTTATACTGTATAGTAGCATTTCTAAAACTACACAAGCGATGACAAACGGGAGTACAAGAGATCTTACCAGCAGGCTGACGGTACACCCAATTTTTTTGTTTTCAGTTTCATCCCCTTTCATGCAGTCCCTGTGGAGTTTGAATAGAATTGGAATTCATTTTTTTTAGTTCATACACACTTCACCTATATCTGTTGAATTTGCCCATATTCATATTCACCCACTTATGAGCTACCAATAACAAAGCTTCCATGGACAATATTAGCTGGCTTCCCCAAAGATTGCTTACTTACTCTCAATAAAATCTTTGATCGCGTATCTTCCTTGGAAAAGGGTATATAACCAGTTTCAACTTCTATTCAAATACTACATCTTATATCACAACTTATTTAGTAAGGTTTCTAATACAGATTAACTCCATCTTTAAATGGAACAATATACATATTTATCATAAGTATACTGCATTTATTCCTAGACAAATGGTAACGTAATTCTCTAAAACTTGACTGTTTCTTAACATTTTTTTGTTGCTTATGTGTTAATGTGATTCAAAAGATACAAAGCTGAAATTTATGTACTAAAATAAAACATTTAAAAGGAAGCATAAATAAGCAATCAGGCTCTGTCAGAGTTCCAAAGAATGTGGGTAACATATGATTTGTTTGACAAAAAGTGATATTTCTTAAATTTCCCTTTAGGATTAAGCAGGTGTAAATTTAATATAGTGAATGCTTTACAATAGGGATCAATGTCACTAAATCGTAGTGCTATTAAATCTTTTCATTTATCCTCAAATCTTTAGCCACTGTTAAGTCACAGATTTATTACACTGGAGTACAGAGAACCTGACTAAAAATAAAATCTCATTAAAATCACCTTATTATTATGTCTGAAGGTTCTAGTGTACTTTAAATGCGGTTTGACCCACCTGTAGTCAAGGAGACGCTCCATGAGGCGAGTTACCGAGGTAACAAAAGAAATGCCAGTTTCCCTCCAGGTCTCCTGTTCGATTTTCTCCAAGAGGCTGGCGGAAAAAAATAGAAACAAGAAATAAACGTCTTTGTACATAAAACAAATAAGGCTCTCAGCTTAACCAAGACATGAAGAAATACATTTAAGATACCCAGACTGAAAGTTGTCGTCTTACCTAGGGTAAGGCCCAAATAGCTGGGTTCTATTTCCACGCAGCAGAAGGTAAAGCAAAAACAAGGAAGTTATGAAAGCAGAAGTGGAAAACAGATTAATACTCTTACAACAGAGGATACTGTGAATATTGGTGAGCACTGGATGACAGTGCTGTAGTCAGGCCTGCAGACAATGATTGTTTAACAACACCCTTACACTTGAACTATTGGTGTACAGATTGTTAGAAACTAATTAATCTAATGCAACTAAAGGGTAAAACAAGCATTTGTGGATTATACCATGACATGGCTAACGGTCTCTCGGATTGTGGTCTATCATTGATAGACTGTACTGTCTTGATAGGATGCCAAGGTGCAGTGCACTGACATAACCCACTCTCTACTGATGGCACAAAGGCATCGTTCTATTGATAAGTGTGGTACATTGGTTCCTTTCTACGTTTTTCTAGGTTTGATTTTTTACCAGGTTAGGTTTGACACTCAACAAGTTAAATCACCTCATTACCTGCATCCTATCAACTCTTTATGCAAATTCAAAAAAGGTCAAAGTAACTCGATGGTATCATGGTAAGTTGTGAATAATCAATTCATTAAAATTATATAAAAACATTATATTAATAACCAAATTCGGGATATTTTGTTATCTGAAAAACATGCATGCATGCAGTCCTTCTTTTTATTATACCATAATGAAAAATCAAAACATATAGATGTGAATATTTAAATTTTCTAAAATACTGATGAAATGTTATTTGGTAACAAGGTGAAATTTTTTTCTGTAAAAAATAGGCTGGTCTCTTGAAACCATAAACATACTGAAGAAACTGAAACCTTAATAATAACTTCCAGCTTAAGTTTTGGAAAATCATAGGGTCTGGTTACTATTCCAACTAAACGCTCAGCTACTTCATTAATCAACTTGTTTGAATGGATTAAGCAGAATTTCACTCATATCTCTTACACTTAATGCCATGTAAAACCTCAAGGGATCTTTTCACTCTAAAATGCAAGAGCAACTGGAATCTCCTTCACTCCATTTTTAATGCCTTTAATATTTAGTATGCAGAAATCTATTGAAATCAGTTTTATCTGTATTTTAATCAGACACCTGCTATTGTACTGTACATGACATCTCAGAGATATCTGAATCAACTTGTTTGAATGGATTAAGCAGAATTTCACTCATATCTCTTACACTTAATGCCATGTAAAACCTCAAGGGATCTTTTCACTCTAAAATGCAAGAGCAACTGGAATCTCCTTCACTCCATTTTTAATGCCTTTAATATTTAGTATGCAGAAATCTATTGAAATCAGTTTTATCTGTATTTTAATCAGACACCTGCTATTGTACTGTACATGACATCTCAGAGATATCTGAAAGATGTGGATAACACCATCAGGAATAGCCACTGTGCCATAGGTGGAAGCATTTTGGTAATGGCCACTCAAACACTATTCATGGTAATTACAAACACTGACCATGGCTGGACTAGGTTTATAAAGACTGCAGCCATGTCACCCTGCAACTCACAACTGACAGCCCAATTAAGCTAAGCAGGTGTGAGCCCGGTCAGTATCTGGATGTGAGACCTCCTGGGAGGTGTTAGTGGGGCCAGCAGGGGGTGCTCACTCTGTGGTCTGTGTGGGACCTAATACTCCAGTATAGTGACGGGGACACTAAAATGTAAAAAGGTGCTCCTCCTAATAATCCCCATCTATTAATTGGCTTCATCACTCTGTTCTCCTCCCCACAAATAGCTGATGTGTGGTGAGCATTCTGGCGCACTATGGCTGCCGTCACATCATCCAGGTGGTAGTGTGTTTCCCCATTACCTGTAAAGCACTTTGAGTGGAGTGTCCAGAAAAGCACTATATAAGTGTAAGGAATTATTATTTTAATACCTCCTGTAATTTGAGGCACTGTGGGAAATATACCTTGTGCGTGTCCTCCCAGTGTTCTTTGAAAATGGTCATTTTCATCAGAACTAAACTAATTTCAAACCTTCGCTGGACTGTATTGTGACTCCTCGAATCCCTACAAATAAAACTTGAAACAGTGAATGTAACCCTGGGCTTGTTCCAAGGCTTTGCTTACAGCAGACTGAAGAGCTCGCGGTAGTTCTCATCTCCTTTGCCTTCTGACACCAGGCTGTCCAGCTTATCAATCAGTTCTGCCTCCACCTGCAGACACAGCAAATGCACGGACCAATGAAAACACACATTTAAACAAAGACTGAACAGCCCAATCAGGGACTACAGTAGTTACACTGATAAAACACACAGCACTATAAATTAATCATGCTCTTAAAAACTGCTGACTCATGTAGTCTTGCTTGTTTTTTTTTCCTTTTTAATAGCTATAAGATATACAGCCAGAAGAAAGAAGTCAAAAGAAAAACTATTTGCATTATTTGGAACCTAACCTTTTTGCTATAGGAAGAAAGAATAATACCACTATTTAAAATGATGTTTAAAATATAATGAAATCTTATTTTGCTAATGAACGTTTTACCAAACATTTCACAAAAGTCCCTGCAACGCAAAAGCAGTTAGGGCTGAAAAATTATTTAAATTCTGGAGTGAATGGTAGGTGGTAAGAGAGCTCCAAAATGGCTGCCACATTCTACCCAGGTGTAGCTGCACTTCTGTGAAAGGACATATTGGGCCTTAGTATGAAACCGTCTGGAATTGTCTGGGATTTGTGATGAAAGGTGTTTGTACAGTAGCTACAGTATGTTGGCATTTTTTATTTTTGAGTAGGCACACTAAACCTGGCACAACATATTGTGAAAGCTAACTAGATAACACAACAAAAGGGAAAGTTGCGAAAGTTCACAAAACATCTTGCCAGTGCTAATTTTTCTTCAAACAGAAAAAAGAACAAAAAGGCCGCATGGCTCACTTGTTTGAAGTTGCCGTTCTTCCTCTGCTCCCAATCCATCATATCATGAAAGATAGGAATCATGATGTTGCGAACCTCATTCTGTGGTACCAGTGTGACACCCAGGAAGGGTCCAATCATGCCCGGGATGAAGTGGACTTTGTTTTCACCTGCTTGGACAGATCCGTAGCTGTTTAATTATTTGAAGCTTAAGCATATTAAGGATGTCAAAATACATTAAAAAAACACTTGTTGCAAATCTATGTATCCATTTTCTAACTGCTTCATCCAAGTCAGGGTTGCGAGGTCTCAGCTAGCAATGGGTGCAAGGCAGGGTACACCCTGGATGGGACACTAGTCCATTGCAGTGGAATACACAAGGAAGTACTTAAAAAAGTAAGTTTTAAATCCAGATTATTATTTTACTGAAACACCATGATGAATTAATGTTAAATATTTCTGTATGACACACTTCATAGCTGGAATCCGTAGATGGTAGCAAATGCAACATAGGCAGGCATATGAACATTCCATGCTTTTTTATCAAATGCAGAACTTTGATTTCAAAGAGGTTATGTATAGTGTCAATGCATCCCCTAAAACGTATTCCAGCAGTGTAGAACTCTAAGCTAGTAAAGTACAAATCACATTTTCTTCATACTGTATAAATAGAAAGCTAATTCATTTTAATTGAAAAAGTTTAATTCAGTAGAATCTCCTCATTATCTGAAGTTGCTGCTTGTGAAAATATAAAATCAATATTACAGTAATTCTATTCAGTTTTTAATAATTAAATGCAGAGTATTTAATAAATGTTTCACGATTAAAGCTGTTTTCTCCTTAATATGCTTGCATTCCTTTTAAAAAGACCTCACATCTGCACTTGTCGTTTAATCTGATAATTGTTACAGAAAACAAGCTGCTGCACAAACCTGTCAAGGTAAAAATGAGTTGAGGACCTGTGTTGGATACAATCGAACGGAGAAGTGGACATACGGTATTACCATAAAGACTCGTTTGATGGCACTGTTGCTCAGCTTTTGGTGCGGTTATGTTTATACTTCTCTACCCAGTGTGATTTCTACTTCCTTTGATGTGTTACTGTGCTAACAGTAAAGCAAAGCACAGTAAGACTATCACACATGAAAGGGAATTCTTCAACATTTTTTCAATTGTTTGTCAGAGGCCACTTATACAGTACCAATAACAAGTCATTAAAAAATCCAAAACATACAACTTCATTAGTACTTTCCTAGAACATATTGCTGGAAAACATAACAGTATGTTATTACAATGTTTAAGAGTCTTATATTTCTAATTTAAGACTGTATATTTAGAATTCAGATTGCAATGGAATATACTTCAAAGGAATTCCAAAGTTGGCTGGGTGTGTTAATACTGTACTCCCATATATTTTAAACATGTCTAATATATTAGACAAGAAATATATAATATTAATTAGTGCTGTTGTTTTCCAGTGTGCATTTGTTGAAAAATCAAGTATCACTGACAAATCTGTTTTCTGACAGTGATATAAACTGTAAAAACATAATAATTGTTTAGATATGTGAGCATATAACTCTTTCAGATATGTGTGTTGTATTAAACAAAAATTGTAAAGTTCTATTATATAAAACAATTTAAAAAAGATAAGAAAATAATGAGTAAACTAAGGCAGTGTTTTGTTTAAAAACATTAAGCAGTTCAGGACAATCAGCAGGTCTGTTGTATTTCAGAGAGATGACCTTCACTTAGAGCTGTGAGATTCTTCACTTAAATTGTCTCACCAAGATTCTGCCACATGCTGAACAGTTCGTATGCCATCATCACTCTCATGTCACCATACCTGTCAGGGTAAGAGAGGATGTATAATAATAATAATAATAATAATAATAATAATAATAATAATAATAATACATTAACACATTTAGCCACAACCTGACTTTACTACACTAGCTACTAGAAACTAAGTTTCAATGGTAGAAGCTGGGAACTGATTAATTATTGTACCATAAACAGGAAAAAGAAAGATTTATCTTAACTATACCTCATCTTTACTACTTTGCTAATTCAGCGTTAGAAAATCAGGATATAAAAACAAACAACGCAAGGTCACATTTGCATCATAATGCTGTTTACGTATGCAAATGCACTCACATATTTTAGGCTAAAGATAATTTAATTAGGTGACACACTAATTTTTACATGTGTTTGTGTTAAGGTGATAAAGGAGTTGGCCTGTCTTGTGAGCAAAAGTTCATTTCAGGATTTAGCAGGGGCAGCGAAAGTGTCCTGGAAATGTCTGGCACAGGTGATGCTGCTACCAGTCTTGATTTGAAGCCTTCCTGACAGAGGAATGATGTCAAACTGCAACCTTGGAGTGTTCCAAGGAAGGTGCTGTGATACACTGTTTCCTACAGCCCATACGCTGCCTTGATCAGCCTGGGCCAAAACCCCAGGGGGTTCCTCTCTTTCCTGTGTCGCCCATTAATCTCCTGTCTCCTTTTGCTCTTGTGTGGCTGGTGGAATGTGAGAACCAGCAAGCTAATGCGGTGAACAATGGCCTCCCGTAATAAAATCTGGCATCTGTCCCTTGGCTACATGTCATGAGCCAATCAGAGAGCTGGCTCAAAGCCTCCCTGATTGTCCTGATACAGAATGAACACCCACAGGCTTTGAAAATTGCTCCTTCCTCATGCACCAAAATTAATTTCCCCAGAATCCTCTATTAGAATCACAGCTAGTATGAAAGATATGTGCATTTGTCATAATCAGAAAAGCTGATCACATTTTTATTTAAAACAGGTTTATTTTAAGCAGAGGAATGCACGTTTTTCTACTTTCATCCACTGACATCAAGACTCAATGAACAAAAAGTAAAAAGAAACCAAGAAAATCACCTTGAAACTACAATTAATAGGTGAATGCAGTCAAACATCTGAAAAAGGCTAATCTTGTAATCAAAGCTTGTGATGCAAGATCAGAAATGAAACACAATGAAACCATGACTGGTTGAAAAACACTTTACACTCATGATCACATTTAAAATCATCTGACCCAAACAGATGGCAGATCGAATCCCATGTATAAGATGATGGTTTTAAAACTAATTAATTATGATCAAGATGCCAAAGCCTGGAGGCACAGGCCTAGATACATTTTAAAGTCAAAATCTGAAGAAAAAAATATGTACAGATGGACTAGGAATGAGGCGAAAATTGGTCAGATTTTCTCGCTGCATCCCTTGGCTGCAAAACTAAGGTTATCCTGGGAAAAGCTTACTCATTTCCAGTTAGTCTCTGGTGGGCATGACTGACATAAAGAAGACAATGGAAAGTCAAGACGCCAGAGTCTTACTTGTCCAGGACTTTCTTCCTCTTGGCTGGTGTTAGGGTCTCCAGCTGTAGACTAGGCTGGTTAATGTACAGAACAGCCAGGCTGAAATACGAGTTCCATACCTATCAAAGTAGTCAGGACCACAGGGTTAGGGATTCAGTTTTGCAACTTTTCTCAGCTGTATCTGCTATAGACAGCAATTTTCTAATGAAGTGGGAGACATATAGAATTCATCGACATTACTAAAAAAAATACATTTCTAATCATCTCTCCCTGAAGATATACTTTTTTTAATTAAGTAACAATGAATGTACAGTACTCACCTTAATGATAAGCTCAAAAGATTCTTATTTGTTAACTAGGTCAACAGCAATTGCTAGGTATAATAGTCTCTGTGCTTTACTATTTACTGGTTCTCCTTATAGTACTATGATACATAATAATATACTGTATATAACAGGATTTTAGATTCAGCGCTAACTTTGCCATCAGAAATGTCTGTAAACTTTAATGTTAGTCTGTGTGTCAGTTAGACTACTGGTTAACAAGATCTTAAACTAGCCAACAGCATCTTAGAATACTTTAAAAAAAACACAGCTGAATACCTTATTATAACCTGCAATTTGGTTGATGAAGAACAATTTGATCCAAAGTGAGATGGTGGGGGTTAACGCTGACTACAAATCATACATTAATTCAAACACTCAGGTTTCAAACTCGTACAAGGCTCAATGAAGCCAAAACAAATTTTACAGATTTATTTCTACTCATGAAGAAGCCATAGCGTAACACAGTACTTTTAGAAATCTCAGCATATTGAGATGACTAATTTAGACTCTTACTTTTGAGCCACAAGCAGTGAAAATTTAGCTTTGTTCTCATCCCTAATTTAGATAGGAAATATTTCATAGCTAGTGCAAGGTGCATCACAGCATTGTATCCTAGCTCCAGTTTTAATCTAAAAGCTGAACCACATACCTTGAAATCAAAGTCTGCTTCAGTGAAGTTTTTGTGTAGTGCTGGAGAGAGGTACTGGACAGTTGTGACAATGATACTGCAGACAAAAAACAAGGGGTAGAAAAAAATATATACAGATTCAGGAGTTAGAGTAGAGATAATTTGAGATCGAGTGGCTAACGTTTCCTGCCATGCCTATCTAAGTTTAAATAAAGTGAGCGTGCAACCCTTTCCAAATGGGAAAAATTGTTTTAGACACATCAGGCAAGTGATTAATCTCACATACTAAAATGATGAGACTCCCAAGATTATAATAATAAGCCGCCTTGTGTTTAAGAAGAATTATGAAGGATAGATCACATTGGAACATTGCTGCGATCAAATGTCTGCTGCACAAGCTGTACATATTTGCTCGTACGTCACATTACATTAGTCATTACTGTGACTAGTAAGCGGGAAGTGCTGTATTATGTCACAATTTGTCAAGTCTCACACTCACCCGTGGCAAGACCAGGGGTGTGTGGCAATATGGCGATTTACAGTACTTTCACAACAGTCAAGATTTTGGGCTTGATTTGAAATTTTGTAAAATGTTTTCTATACTGTCAATGAATGTATTTTGTTACCAAGATATAGTTATCGGTCTGAGAAACTGTGACTACATTTTGTTTTATACACAATTTCTTTCTAATGATAAAAAAGCAATACAAATTTAATGTGAATATTATGTACTCATTTTCTGAGTTAACTTAATAATACCACAGCACCTAAAATTTGTCCCTTGCCCTGTAACTAGAATCTGATACTCTATATCAAGAACACGAGAAATAAACACAAGTAAGTTAAAAAAAGCTTCCCTGTAGAATGGCAGAACAATTTGTTTTAACCCACAGTACTTTCAAACCCATGGTTAGAATAGATGTATTCTGAATGAGTGCCTGTAAACATTCACTGTAAACATTCCTAAAAGCTGGGACTCTCTTCCTATATAAATTTTCCTGATAGGACTGACTTACTTGCTTGTCAGGAGTCGCATCACCATCCAGTCTCGTGGAAATATGCTTAGCTTCATTAAGTTGCGAAACACACAGAATATCTTCAGTAAGAACTCCTGAAAGCGAAAACATGTACAGTGTGTATGTAAAGTTGCCTTATAATAATATAATGCCTTATAATTGAAGCCTTATAATAAACCCAGTATACTCAGCTCACAACTACATTACTTTCACAATTATTTAACAAGCATTTTATATTCTCTGCAGTTTACCCTCCCAACTCTGCTTGTTAAGCTGATTCTTATTGAAGGGAATGGTTTCTATGCATCTTTAAGAACACCAAATACTCCCACTTTTCAGTACAATCATAACATTTTGAAAGGACCTGCCTATTTTTAGAGCAGTCATAGTTGGACTTGCAGTTACGTAAGTTCTGAAAACATGACTGGAAATAAAAAACATAGGCCTAAAGCTAAAGAGTGTCAAATTTTATCAGAATCTAGATCACCTTGAGTCTGGTTACAATTTGGATGGGGCGCATTTAAGAAACATTCACTTGATAGTGGTTAAAATCATAGCTGATCAGTGGGGAGTACTCTTCCAGATCAACGCTACCCCATGGTGACAGTTGGAACTTTATTGTTGAGGGTACAACATCAATTAATTCAGAATACACACTGATTACTGCCTCACCCCAAGCAGTTTAAAGCATAGCTATTGGTTTAGCCGGGCTAGAAATGCAGCACTTAGAAATGCACTTCAGTATGGAATGGGCTATGTACTGTATAGTGTAGATTGCAAGTACTCACCTTCAGTTCCTCTTTGCTCTGGAAGTTGTCCAAAAGGTGTTGGAAATGGATATCTGACATCTGACGCAATAAGGAAAGGAGGCAAGAAACATACTCTCCCTGCCAATTACAGTAAAAGCAAAACAGAAATGTGTCAGTCATAATAAAAGACATTGTCCACAGTAACCACATTTTGGAGTTGGAGGGAGTAGGGGTTTTGAAATGGTTGAAATGTTGGTGGTGGCTTTAAATAAATAGAACTACACCTAGGAAGAGATCAACTTGAAGACATCCAACAACATGAAGCCATGTCTGTCCCTATTTACTACTATTACTTACTAGCTTTAACTGGTTTTGATGGCTGTTATGCTCTTTTTTGTTTCTGACACATTTCCACATTATAAAAACAACTTTTAACATCATGACAGGTATCTTCTATTCCCCTAAAATAACATGATTCTGGTATATTTCTATAGATATATTAAACATTTTTTCTTTTTTTTTCAAAATGGTTTTGAAACTAAAATGAAACAACCTTTTTATCAGAACATGTTTTTCTCAAGGAGTTATGTAAAGTAATCAAAATTAATCAGCATGGAGAATGAGATGATTTATACTAGCATGATAGTTCTCCCATTATCGGTAGCTAGTTTCTATAGTATGGAATTATATCCAGCAGGAGAATCAATTTTTAGCTTTTTCTGTAACTTCATCTTCATTTCTAGGTTCAATGTCAGAAATAGTGTTTACATTAGAGTGTCCAACCCTGCCCTTGGAGAGACCCAGTCCACCAAGTTGTATAGTCTTAAAAATCCTTAACTTCTAAAGGTCTGGGACAATTTCATTATTATTTATTAAAGAGGTGGCCCATTCATTGAAGTATCATCTGGAATGGAAACTTAAAATATATTTTAAGTCTGAAGGACCAGTGTTCTCTTCACAGGAATATTAATTGCTTAATTGATTGATTGTTTAAACAAGTGTTCATAATCTTTAAACAACAGGTGAGTTAGGGTGACCAATTCAGCGAATAACTTGATTGGTGCTCTCTAGTTCCAAGATAGGAGACCCCTGGGCTAGAGTTTACTAGTCTGTACATTGATGAACTGTAATATGCATGAACATGAATGAAAATGGATGTACTGTACCTGTATAATATAAGATATTTAAAGATATCTTAAATATATCTTATAATATATTTTAATATACTAAAATAGGTATTTTATGTTTTATTCATGAAACCTAATTTTGAAATTTATTTGAATTGTTGTAGACCTAGAAGCATGCACAAGTTCATTATAATAAAATGATAAGAATCATCTGTCATTGTAATGCTGACATTTTTAATATTTTCCTTGTCTCTACAGCAGTATAAGTTGCTATGCAACTAAAAGCAACCTGTTTATTTTTTATGAGATTGAGTCTTGAATGGTTTGCATTGGGCCATATCAATACGAAACCAAGCACAAACATGTCAAACGATTATATAATCATCAGCATGAGCACCTGTGTGCAAAATGCTCAAAATCAAACAATTAGATACTCTGGTGTCAAACATTATCCAGATGGGATAACTAAATTGTTCAAGATCACAACAAAGGACCTGAACCTATAACCTTACAGTTAAGGTTTTCTTATTGAAGTATAGCTTAATGTAGGCTGCTCATTTTAATACTGCAGCATTATGTACAATATAGAAGAAAAAATATCTATCGGCAGTCAATCTGAGCATGCTTTTGTTGATGGTTTTTCATTTAGAAAATACACCTTTCAACAGATAATGACTTTTATAAATTGAATGGGAGTTTTTCATTTTCTTTTTGGTAGTAAGGTCAACTGATGACCGCAGTTAGGAAGCACTGGCCTGGACAATGACAGCTGGGCAGCAAAGGGCTGGCAGGGGATGAGGAAGCAAGCAGGAGAGCCATGCAGGACGCTGTAGTGGTGGCTGTGAGGTGGTGAGGGCAAGAAGGGGTTCCACGGGAGACGAGAAGAAGAAGAACTGGATTGTTAGTTACTAACAGTGATCTCAGCCGTGCACTGCGGGCAGCGCTGGCCTCTTACCGCCTCCTGAGACTGAGATTTACTCATGATGGTGAGCAGAGTTTGGAGGAGAACATCCAGGAGGCTCTCCACCATCATCTCCACCTCCTCCTGAACAGATGTCTCCTACAAGACACATACAGAGGGGGGGGGTTGTGACGTGGGCCTTTACACAGGTCCCCACGCTTCTGACACAGACACCCTGACCCAAGCACGCTTCAACTCTAATCACAGCCACACAAAATCACTGTCCTCACAGTACTCCCACACCTGACTCAAGAACCACTTCAATACTTGAAATCACTATTGGATGACTAATAGACATTTCATAAGCATGAATGTATGCAGACCTTTTTCGTGATCTTGAGGCTGGTATTATGAGGTATTTCAGTTTATTGCTTGAAAAGTTCAATGCCACAAAGAAGGAGCTGAAAGCATGATGAAGGACTGCTTGGGGATGTTCCAGATTATACCAGGATAAAATCAGATTATACCTGTCTCAGTGTGCACAATTTGTCTTATAATTTGGCACTGCCTGAGTGCCAGTGTTAGAATATAACTATCTCTAGGCACAAGTTAGATAATGGAACACTATATCTGAGTTATTTTATGCTGATGAAATATTATAGCTTTGTAACTATGTTGATGTATGTTACTGTATTTGTTATTTCAGCCAATGTGATGTTTTGTATTCAATATAATATTAGACTATATAATATAAAATAGACTCACTTTGTTTTTTGCTAAGTATTCAACTTGATTGTTAACATTTTTAAAGCACAGGAGTAGAATTGTATCTTCCTATGTGAAGAATATTCCTTTAGAGAGCAAATATAAAAATTAAAATCAAATTCAAAAAGACCTTTGAAGAACTGACTTCAACTCTGGTATTGTGTCAGTAAAATGTGAGCCTAATACAAGAAGAATCTCATCTCAGTGAAAGCTTTTTTCTTGTCTTAAGTTACTTAAGCACATTATACTCAAGCTACTATAAAGTGAGGTCTATTTTGAGTCCCCAAAACCTATTAAACTAATTTCTTGCCTTGCAAGCCTGCAGAAAGAATAGACAGATGAATAAAATCTAAAAAGCACTAGAATCTGAATTGAGTTCCTGAAGCCCAGCTTCTGGCCTGTGGGCAGTAAAAATAGATTATGGCATTTTTATTAGGTTTTGACTTTGACCACTAAGGTTTTCATCTGGTAATGCGAAACAGTTAAGTTTGCCAAGTGATGTGATGAGTGCTATATTCTTGGAAAAAACTCATTCAGCACATAGAACTGTTTTTCACACCTGAGTAACACAATAACTTCAAATTGATACAGGTTAAATCACAATTTTATTTTTCTTCTTAAATGTGTTTTTATAGTAAATATTTGTAAACTGAATTTGACCACTGTCTTGTGATACACAAATAAGTTTTGACTGTACTTGAATGGACAATTTTAATCAATACGAAATGGAAATGAGTGATCATCTTTACCCCCATGTTGCAGCATTTCCTTTCTGGTTTGAGGGCTGTCTTCCAGGACAATAATGTCAACATCCACACAACACATGTGTGGCCACATGTCTTGGCCTTCGCAATCACCAAACCCGAACTCGATCAAGAATGTATGGGATACTACTGAACAATGGATAACAGTGTTTTCTAACTATATCAAGTTATAGTGAATGGTACATCCCTCCTGCAGATTTTCAGACGCTGGCAGACTCTGTGCCATGCCACAGGCTATACTGGTTACACATGGTATCCCAGAACCATGTGAAGTGTCTTTACATTGCTTTGTCCACCATGTCTACATGACAGCATAATGATACAAAATGATACAGCATAATAATAAATAATAATAATAACAGTTGATTATTTGTATTCTTGGTGCCTTGAACAAAAAATGATTCTTAGAAATGTTGGAAAGATGAGGCCCAAAAAGCAGAATACATTGGGATGCTGATACAAATCAGGACATCACAATTTGGGTCAATTTGGGATACGCGCAGTGATAAACTGTCCATACCGGCACCTATCTGTCTCCAATCCCAAGAGGCAGGCATCTCGACTCAGAAACCTGGCTGAAGGTCACCTGTCAATAAGCCCTTGACAGGGTGTGGATTAGCCACCAATGAGGAACCTGCTGTGTGGGAAGAACGCTACAACTGATGATGTCACAACCACTGAGGATGACACGAATTAAAAAGCTCTGCACAGCTCAGGGAATTTTTCTGCCTCTGTTGCTCCCTCTCTTTATACTCCCAGGAACATGACAGGAAAAAGAATCACTGAGACCACTGTTCTCCGACCTGCAAGTGAATCATCTTAGCTTCAAGTAAACTGCCAGATGCAGAGAGACCCGTGTAAACTAGAATTCTTAATATTAATAATATTACTTACATTTGTGCATTTCTATCCACTTCTACAGTGCAACACCCACCTGGGTAATGTGCAGTGCCCGTTATACAACAACAGACTCACTGCACAGCAGATCGGGCAGAGACGTGAGAAATTACTTTACAAACTGAACGTAGGAGTAATTTTTCAATGGTCCAGAGTGTGCAAGCCAGGAAAACATGATAAATACTCCTACTCTTTCCTTTAATGAACTGTGCCATGGGACCTTTAAAGACCATAGAATATGCTGGAAATTCCAGTCCAGAGAAATGTGCCGCCTCACTCATCACCACCACTTACCAGTGAACTGGTCTTGATGATGGAGAAGATGCTGCTCAGGATGCCGGAGCATATGAGCAGCTCCTTCTGCTGCCGGAGGTGCAGGTGGATGTGATGTAGCACCACAGGGAGCAGAATTCTTCGCGACTCTGTAAGACAGAGAACAGCACACAGTGACACCAGCCTCAACATATTACCATATTTACCTAGGTACACAACTGCACTGACGACTATCATAAAAATACCTCACATATCCAAAGATATCTAATGTAGGAGAGAACTAATGAATGTTAATTAGTGCCAAAGTGAAACCAGGTAGTTGCTCTTTGCTTAGCTGAGTACAAATTGAGTAAAATATTGAGTAAGATAGATCTATATGGATTCTACAGTATATGCATTCTGCACAGGTTTGAATATATAGTTTACACTGGTTATCATCATGCAACACCAAACAGCAAGGATTTTTTTTATTAATTTATCTTTTTAAACGTTCACTTCTTGTACTCTTTGGTCTGTCTGCCATTTAAAAAAGTTAATAAAATATAGTGTTCTTTTAAACTAAAATGAATAAATTGAGCAATGCATGTTTAATGCCAATGTTTTATAAAGTAATTGACTTGTGAGGAGAGTTGACTTGTGATGAGACAAGCTCAAAACACTTTATTATAATCTGTAATATTTACAGAGGGAGTTTCAAAGGATTTTGCTACAGAGCAGAGTCTGCTTTTCATTGAAGGAAACTATAAAAATATACCAGTCAAAGTGGAGAGAAATAATTAGACTGGAATGCAGGAATAAAATGAATGTTTTTCAATTCTACACATTTCAAAATGAGCTGTACCTGGAGAGAAATATACTGAAGCACAGTTTTCACGAAGTGCAGTGCTTTGAAAATTCTCCTGTGAATCTTTGAGCTATTATGTGGTGGTGTTGCAATAGTGTATTTTTAAATATGGTGATTAGGCATATTATTGCTTAACGGTAACAATTTAAATATTATATTATTGCTTTACTTGTAATTAAGGTTAAACAGAAAAAGAATTAATGACCATACTATTCAAATACCAACATAAAACATCCACACTTAGTTTAGTGGACAAAGAAATCCCTGACTTTGTTCACAGGTGAAGTCAATACTCATTCACATGTTACTGAATGTAGTTCATACATGTTACTTACAATATCTTCAGTAAATGTATCACAGCTCTACATGTACTATGTTTACTCTGTGGTCCTCTGAGTGCATTTTCCAAGTCACTCTAGAAATGACCAAGGCAAAAGTAAAAGTCTTCTTTTATGTGTAAAGTAAGATGTCAACGTGAATAAATCTTCCGCCCCTGAAGCCTGAGGTACCTGGGAAAGAGAAGAGTCGGCTGTCCACGGTTCGAGCAATTGATTGCAGCTTGACCACATCCATGGACTGTCCGATGTGCACAGTACTAGGCATACTTCCGAGAGTCCCTCTCACAAACTCTGCCACCTCTTGCACAGTGAACATCTGCAGTAGCTCATCGAAGATGGCTGGGAAAGAGTTAAGAAGTGCAGCCTGGAGGGGAAGAATGAAAAGAAGAGGCAAGCTATTGGGCTGGTATATGCCATGTTCTATATCCAATATTCTGCACACCTCAGGGTGTTATAGGACTGTTGGGCCATTGGCCGCATTTCATAATTAACAGAGCAAGAAGATATTTCTGCCATGAAGACTCTTAATGCACTGATGAACAAATGAACATTATATATAATAGATTAGGTCCCATATGGGTGAATGGTATATAAGCAAATGGAGAGTTTCACTCATTTTTTCAAATGGTTATTGCAGGATATCTCCTGTCTGGATACCTGTGGTTAATTTTAAATGGTTCACCAGAAGCCATTATATTTTTAGCACCAATTTAAAACAAGCAACCATATTTTTACTCTTCTGAAAGGGTAAAACTTTGATTACATGTGTTTTCTCTTGGGTTTTAACACCAGGAAAGAAGAGTCAGGAACTTTCATGAAGAAACTGTATTATCAACTGTGTTGCTTTCTGGTTTATTGTTTTCACAAGAACAAGGTCCACTACCATACTGCTACTACATAGACCCCAAAGAACTGTTGACAGTTATATCCTGTATCTTTACTAACAAATGCATATATCAGAGATTTTCTGTGACATATCAGCTCCTAACATTTCTAAATTCTCTCCATTGGCTTCTGTAGTACTTGTTCAAATACAATATATTTTAAAAATACCTCTTTTACATCTATAAAACAATCAATACTTTGTTTTATAGAAACTAATTCATTTAATTTCTCCAGAAGGACATAATGGGTCTGATCCCAGCTATAACTTTGATTGTGAGCAATGTACTGGTTAGTTCGAAATATCTTCTTGCATTTGACCGCAGTCCCTTCCTGAATGGCCCTCAGTCAAATAACACAGTCCATTCCCATTGCGGTTATGTAGTTCTCCACCACTGCATCTCGCAGGATGCAGTGAGCTTTTGGAATGACATGAGAAGTGGGAAAAGATTCTGAAGGTTAAACAAACGGAACAGAAAAAAAAAAGCGTGTGGTTAGATATTTGTTTTGGAGGTAGGGGGTTGGTGGTTCGGGAGTGCTGAATGGTGGGAGGTAAATTTTGCATAGAGGACGCCCTTGCGTTTACCGGGGTGCAACACAAGGGGGCACTGTTACTTACTGAGAGAGGCGAAGGCCGAGGAGCGCTGCCGCTCCAGGGCTGTATGCAGCTCACTGCTCCACTCGCCTGTCCTGGCGGAGGCTGGGGGCCCTGAGACAGATTGTGGGAGGACAGCGGGGGGGAGGGGGAGTCAAAAATAAATAAGGGGTCACAAAAAAGGTCAAGGGGGCAAATAAATATATTAAGAAACTAAAAAAAAATAAAACACCAACTTCGTAGAAACAGAGAATGGTTACAAATGAAAATAAAAATAATTTGAGGGAAAACAAGGATGAAATAAAAACAAAAAACTCCACCATCTGCCCCATTGTACAGACGGAATTGAGATTCACAGGTTTGATTCATGTGCTTTTGTGAGGTACACATGTTTGGAAATTCATTCAGGGAAATGAATTTGTTCTTCTTTGTCCTGTTTTTTTTATTTGCTGTTCCAGGAAATCCTCTGGAGGCTGGTATGGTATGACACAAGTTCTCAGGTCCAAAAAACATCAGAAAAAGAAGAAAATAAAAATACTTTGGCAAAATTAAAATAAAGACCTGCAAAGGAATTTCTATTGATAATTGTACCACCATTTGCTTTACTTGAGAAAAAAATGTGAAAAATATCAAGTCATTTAATTCCACACCTTTATGCAATCAATACTTATTTTGTGGAACTGAAAGTGGTATTCCATTATCAAGAGTAGCAATACTTCTGTTAAACCAACATAGCACACCACATATCCACACCTATTTCAAATTTGCTGTGTTGTACATCTAAACAAGTATAAAATAAATACAGAGGCAGGGCAACTGACAAAAGAATCCATCAAGAGCAAATATTTCTTTGGAAGTAATGGAGCTATTGTTTTATAATTGTCCATGTTTTAATGATTCATTACTGAAAAAAGTAATCAGTCAGGTGTCAGGTGAACTTGTTATGGCATAAAAGGGTGGTCTGAAGCAGTTATTCAGCAATTACTATAACTGGCAGTAGTGTGCTTCCAAAGATCATGCAGAGCATGGAATATCTATAGTAAATATGTTCTATGTACAGTAAAAGCTTGCCCATGCATCATCTATCCAATCATATTTTTGCTGAATGAATGGGTGTAAAATTTATTTTACAGTAATGAAGCACTCACCTTTCAAGCTAATTGTTTGAGCTTGACATCAACACATGCCAATCGCTTACTCAATACGACCAGAGGTTGGGGAGCTTGTTCATTTTATGTAACAACTCTCAGTTAATTAGCTGCTTATTTTGTGTACGTGCATAGAATAAAATTAAAGATGTCTTGAATTAATTGCAGTGGAAGAAATGTGTCTTTTTAGCTTTTTTAAAAGCAAGGGGAGGGAGCCATGAAAATTCTGCTTTTTCTGAAAGATATTTATTTGGCAAATCTTAATGTATTGAGACTGCGTAATTGGTTCTAAGGTCAAGCAACATGTTTTTGTAAATAGACTCTTGTTTTGGACAGCTAAGGCCTAATAAGCAAATTAACACAGGGTTAGATATAAACACTGGTGACTTATTTCAATATTTTGAAAAGTAACAAGACATTTTATACTCAACCCACCCTAATAAATGGTCAATGAATATTAAATAATGAGTTTAAGAATAATTTTAAGAAAGCAACAGCTTAAGGCCAAACAAAACACTACATTCAGTCAATTTACAGTGGCAAATTGTATTTAAGGTATTTATTTTTAACTTGATGGATTTATAAAGCTCCTTTACCTATTTGTTTTTAATTAAGGCTACAAACTACCTGAAAACAGTCAGTACGCTGACAGTGAAAGCAGGAGATGATCTTCTCCATGTGAATTCTCTGGATACGTCTGGCTCAGCACAAACTACTATATATAGGATTTGTTAATGTTTTACAATAGTTTGAAAAAAAAAAGCTTGTCCAGAGGGTATATCTGGAAAACAAGTTTCCATCTGTCCCTAGATTGTCAGACCCTTACAAAGCCACAGGGAAATTAACAGACCACTGACCTTAAATTCTGAGGATATCTTTACACTATTCCTAAATACAACACTTTGTACTGCTGTCAGGAGGCACTTGCAAACATCCTCTATCCCTGAGGTCTAGATGAGTCGAGATGAACTTAAGAGATCATGGACTAGTTGCTAATTTAGGCCTTAAGACCCATATAAAATACAGCATACAATTTAATCTCTGACAGGCCTATTCTCTTTAATATCTCATAACTGGATTAATCCCATTCACTGATAGTCCTGGGGTTGTGCCTACAGTACGTCTTTCTAAGCAGAATTAAATAGCTGAATTGATGTTTTTTTGGTCTACCCCTATTAATTGTCTTAGTTTGCTCTACATCCTGTAAATAAACTTTTATGCAGCTACAGTATCCTTAATATATTACGACATATGCACACCCGGAGGCCTTTTACACAATGTAATAAACATTATTATTTTCCTGGAGAAATTCATGGGCCTCACTTCTTACTGTACTGTTCACTTCCTGTACTGTATGCACAACTTAATACAAATGCTGGAAAGAATATCTAGGGAACCAGCACAGGAAAGAGCTACAGTATAATTATTTAAAAGTATAAAATACACACCTGAACTAATGTAATATAATTTTACATCCCAAATTACAGAATGAGTTTAGCAGTTATACAGTTAGTCCAATGTTTCTTGCATTTTGCATTTGCTTGCATAAACAAAGATTGCATTTATCTTCTAATTCATTCAGAAGTACAAAATGAGTCTCTACTGCCTACAGCACACAAAAGTACATTACTTTAGAACAAAGGTATTCTCGGAAAGGCAAAGGAAAGTTTTTAATTTACTTCTTTAGGTTTACTTTATGTTGTAGGCTCAACTGTATGGGCAGAGAGAATTGTGTTGTGATTCAGCACAAATTAACACAGCAATGTTATTCCATATGCACCAAATGATTACATGTAGTATTTTCTGAGTACACATACTCATCTCTCCAGGAAATTTATACCACAAGAGCGAGCTGCAATATTCAGCTGCTATAGAGATGTAAAAAATCAACTAATTACAATAGCTCTGTATAAGGGGAAAAAGACAAGCCTGTATAGTGTCTTAATCAAATACCTTGTAAAATATTAGCTTCTTATGTAAATAAGGTATTTCACCCTTTTAAAATTCCAAATATACTACTGTCATACTAGATATGTGCATACTAGTCGTTCTATGAGTATAAAACCACACTAAACTCCATCTATCCATCTGCAGCTGTGTTTCCCTTCTGGGATGTTCTCCTCTTATGTAGCTTCCCTTCTATTTACATTGTCATTATCTAATAAGAAGTGACAATGCTTTCAGAACTACCATCTACATGTACTGTATGCTAGATGCTCAAGGCTTTTTACTGATGCAACATTTTTTCTCTTATAACAGATTAGGTGAGCTATCCTTTTTTTACTGTTATTAAAGATGTTAATAATGACGAAGATTATTTTAAAGATTTTAACATGATACATTTTTCAGAAAAGCCAGGAACACAATTTCCTGTTAGATTTGTCTGTAATGAAAGTATTGCTTCTGCCTCTGTAAACTATACATTTCTTATTGTATAAATACACTTGTGGTGTACAGTACTTATACATTTTTAGAAATCCTCCCACACTGCAGAAAAAAGCCTATCAATAAAAAACAACTTTTAAGGATTCTGTCAGTATTTGTTTTTGTTGTGTCAACTGATCTTACAATTATTGTAACAGTTGTTACAGGTGCAGTAGCAGTTGTTACAAATGAGTACTGGAAATACCACTCATTGTGGTAAATACCACAATTTTAACTGCAAAATATTTAACTTTAAAAACATTAGGTGTCAGGTTCAAGCACTCAGTTTTTTACCATGACTGCTGTACAACTGCTGAAAACACATTCCTTTTGTGTCTACAATGCTGATTAGGAGCAGGTGGTATCCTGTCTGAATTTATTTAATTTTCATTAAATAAGGCAGTTTGTTAATACCACCCTGCTCCTTTTCTAGCAAAACTAGTGTCACTTTTAGCATTTTTAAATCACATTTTCGAGACACGAATATTGAGTCTTGCAGCACTTGCTCACAGGGTTCATATAATCCTTCAGGACCATCCTTTTGGGAAATTTTGAGCAACACAGATCATTGTCATCACATCTCCCAGCCAACCAATTCTCACTCCCTTAAGCAGTTCCAAGTAAATATATTAACAGACTGACCACATAGAACTGTACAATATAATCATCATATATATGCAAGACAAGTGAGTTTTCTTCCAGACAATATTCAAGAAGCGGAATTCAGTCTCTTATTTTCTAGAGTTAATTCTAGTGTTGTCGGGAGTGGGATGTGGTTGGGGATAGTGCAGCACAGGCAGAAAACGAGGAGAGCTATGAAAGCACACACACACTTACCTGTGTGAAAATGAGTGTCTCTGAGCTTCGGCTGTCCAGGCTCAGAACAAAGCGGATGGACTGGAAAAGCTCCTGGATGCTGGCACGAAACTGCTCCTCCTCCAAACCACAGGTGGCTCTGGAGTACAGGATGCGCGACTGAATGATGAATTTGAACAGGTACTCCAGAGCCTGAGGCAGAGGAAAGCAAAATATCACCACAAGTGCATTGGTGCCAAATTAAATCAAAATCACTGCATAATAATTTTTAAATAAGATTATTTTTGAGGTTTATCTGGTGGCTGGCTCCAACTACAGTAAATGTACCCATCTGCCTCTGTACATACTGTAACTGATGAAACTGCCTTTTAAAAAAAAATGGAAGAAAACATTGTAATGTTTTACTTGAATGTTGCATAATGGCTAGATAATCCCTTCATAACTGCTATACAAGTTGTTACAATCACATAATGTGTTATAGGGACATTTGCAAATGACATAACTGGTGTATAAGAGATCATGGCATTTGTTTAAGCATTATTTAGAGCATTTAGTACAATGTGATGCTAAAACACATGCCATGACCTCTTACTCAAAGGAATGCAATGATTCTGAAAAAAGACAATCCCTGAGTGGTTTTTGGTTTTTGCAAGGCAAGTGAGACTGGAGTATGGAAAGGGCACGCAGAACATTAATCAGAGGGATTTGTGCTGCATTTTGCCCTATTTACAGCCTACAAACAGTCCTTTGTAGGAATGAGGAAACCACCGGGGATGAGTGGGTTTTCTGCTGTACCTGCGCTGCTTAGCGTCCTGCGTGTTTGTGTCTGTTTGCTTTGGCACAGGAGGGGAAAGAGCCAACAAGGATGGCGTAGTGGCATGGAAGTCAGCATTACTTCCTCACTGTTCTTAGGCTCTGGGTTTGATTCCAGCCTGGGGTGCTTTCTGTCTGGAATTATCTTAGTATATCAATTCTGCTCTTGGCTCTTCAATAAGCAATAAGATGGATCTACAGTAGTTTTGCTGATCTCACGGCAGCTAACAACTATGGTGCTATATTGAGAACCTCTGTACTCCCTTCCCTGGTGTCCTGCTATTATGTATAGTATTTTTACATGCACTGCATTTTCTTGCACTGCATTTTCACTGCCAGAACTGATATGAAGATAAACTATCCAATTTGTTTACTTTTTTACTTGCGGACTTTACTATCCTCAAGTTGTTCCATGACGCTAACGTAACTCTGTTGCCTTTAGAAGGTATCTCAGTGGTCAGAAACTGTATGATGACATTAATTCTGTGGAGTCAATTTAATGTTGTAGGTTTTTCCTCGCAAAAATAAACACATTTTTTATAATTGTTTGACATCTGCAAGTTTACTAAACTTTTTCATTTCAGGTTTTCTCTGTATGGTGACAGAAAAAGCAGAACATTTGTGTAAATCAGAGAGGAAATGGACAAATGTCATTGTTGGACTGAGAAACATAGCCGCCAACAATAGCTCATGCTACAAAGAACTGACTGACCTAGAAATCTTCAATATTAGTGGGACATAGCCTTGTTCCCAACATACCCTCATGGCCTCCTGGATGTGGTCCTGGCGGATAACCTCAGCAGAGCGATCCATATACCACTTCAGACAGCGGATCAGCTCTCTACGCACAGGACAAAGGAAAAATCAGCACAGACCTGGGAATCTCAGCATAGGATAAACCATCATTCACAGGTTCTCTGTTTTATAAATTCCCACTTTACTGTTATTAATATTTATTAAAATTATATAGCTAACAAATTTGAAATGAACTCATTTGGAATCATTGTTGCAATGTTGCAAAGCTTAACCTGGCGTCCGAATTCAAGCCCTACCCTGGTAGAGTTCTGCTAAATGTGCACCACCACTAGGGGAATGAATCATGGTCATACAGTAGTCACCAAGTGTCATAGACTTCAACAAGCAATGTCTACTTCACTGAGCTCAAAAAGCACTTGAAGAGAGTGCAATTTCACTTGCTATGACATTGGAGAGTCCCTGCACCCTTTACTTTGGCCACTTTACAGACCACTGAAAACAACAAATAAGAGAACACAGAAAACTACTAGTTAAGAACGTTTGTTACCAACATCATTTGAGCACACTTGGCATGGGGCAAAATTATATTGCATTGCCATGCACAGAATAAGAGGCTAAGAGTTGTTCATATCCACTTTCCGGCTGGTGCGGAGGGTTAATTCAGTGGTTCTTAACATGGAGTACATGCAACTTTGGTGGTACGAGATGCCCTGTCTGGGGGTGTGAGAAATGTCAGAATATTTTAGAAGGTCATTCACCAAAAAACACAAATTAAGCACAGGCACATAAGTACAGTACTTTGTTTCATCAAACCTTGGTATTTTATGGTAAATGTAAAAAAAAGTTAGGGTGTAATTTTTTACACATTCTTAATTGTACTGTGAAATTATACTAATAAATATATAATTTTATCTCTATCATTTTATAGTTATGATATACAGTATCTTAGGATTAAAGAATTTACCTACTTCCACAATTTAAGCTAAGGGATGCAATAACATATTTTGAGTACCAAAGGGTTGGCCGGCTGCAGTAAAGGTTAAGAACCACTGATTTAATTCTTAATACTGAACTGAACAGGGGACTGATGCTTTTGACGGTTTGATATCTGTTTCAGCTACGTAGTGTCCTCTGAACAAATGTCATTTACAGACCGTTTCCAATTACTGGTTCATTTTTCTTATTTCTCATACTATAATTCAAATCTCACGCAAAATGCAGTAATAAGAAACAAATGGAAGAAAGAAATGAGCTCGGTCATGACATGTATCCATTTAATTTTAATGCAATTGCCATTCGAAAAAGGCTTCTCTAAAAGCTCAAAAAAGTAACTAGTGATAATAACTTACATCACTTCTGGTCAGAGCAATACTGCAACTGATAGAAGATTTGTAAAATAAATTTTCTGCCTCTAGTAAATGCTGCACTGTAAGAAATCACTTGTTTTGTATCCTAATGCAAGTACTTACTTATAAGCCAGAGCTCCAGCAAAGTGCTTCTGGATGTAAGTGTCCATGACAGGCCGGAAATGATAGTATTTACTGTCCCGTAGCAAATTTATGATGAACACCTGGTACATCGAAAGACACATAAGACTTCAGGTCAGATCACCATCAGTTTTGGGATATACTGTAAATAGTTTGAGATGAAAGGCCTGGATTTTATCGTAGTACCCAGTGGGGTCTGAGGTTGTCACTTCCCATCACCTCTCTACTCCTTCCCTTCCTATCTTTGAGAGGAGGGTACAGTACACATGAGTAGAACATACACTGCCCTAGAAACAAAATGACACAGAACAGCAAAGTGGTGCTTTGTTGACAGGTGCGCCATGGTTAACGAAATAACTAAATCAATGATGGACGAGGCACTCCTAAAGCAGCGTATACCAGTCAATCACCCATGCCTTCAAGATCATGTTCTCAGACGTGTGAAGGCAAGTCACTACAGTAAGTGACAAAGTCAGTCATGAATGCCATGTTCGTGTTACCCTGTTGAATCTTTGGTTGCTAGGCAGTGTTCTAGCTGTTGAACCACCTGAAGGCCATAACAAAAGTGTGAGATCTGATCCATCTGTCATGTGCTGGCATCGTTAAGCACAGACGCTGTGGGCATTTACAACCACTGACTTTGTGGTGGGCCTCGTAACGTCTTAGCGCCGCTCTAATCACGTTTCTGTGAAATCTGAGGTGGTGTGAAACTGTTTATTGTATCAGGAATGAATGGCATATGATAGTAAGTGGAACAATATAAAACCACAAACACTATTAGGGAGGGTAAACAGCTCAAAGCTGCTCAAAACGTTCTCAAAACTGGCCATTAGATACTGGATAAACAAAATGTCGTCTGTTCAACATCTTGTTTAAGCTTTTGGGTCCTACTACACCAATCATGTAAGAATCCTATCTCAAGTTAACAAAGTTAGCATTAATTTAGCAAATACTGTATAAGTGGTAAATATGAAATCATTTAGCTGTATCATTAAGCTAAAACGACCCACATATCTTTATAAGCTAAAAGAAAAGAATAAGTAATAGGTTTCTTCCATGCTGAAAAGAGAAGAAAGAAAACATAACGTTTCAGCTGTGGAGCTTTCTTGGGGTGTAAGAAAACCCCAAAGAAGGCTCTATAGCCAAAATGTTGTGTTTTCTTTCATCTCTTTTCAGCATGGAATAAACCTATTACTTGTTCCTTTGCAGCCTATGCATGCTGACACAGCTACCCACCTGAACTAAAAGAAAAGAATGCCTAGTTAAGAACTAATAAGCCATTACTAAAAAAATGTATCCAAACAGATGAGGCCGTATGCAAAATAGATCTAGGCTGAAATTTGTTCATACTGTAAGAATATCAAAGACAGTGCTCCGATTATATCAATGAATCATTGATATGAACTGTGCATCTGTTTAAATTCTAAACTGTCACTTTAGGTTCTGAAAATAAATATAATATACAATGAATGTAAAAAATAACTGCACACAAGCTTTCATGCATAAGATTAAACTAATTAATCTGAATTTACAATCAAACAGGTACTGCTCTAGCAGTCGAAACAATGTGGCTAACTTCATTTTAAAGTAATTTTTATAAAGGTCTTTGAAAACTTGAAAGGAGTATGGTTATAAACTCCTCTCTAATTACTTTCAACTATAGATTCAGTTAAAAACTACCTGTACAGTATATACAGTACCTTGCAATGTAAAACAATATTCTCAACACAGAACAAAGACTATTTTAATTATTTTGTCACTGAATTATTCAAAACATTAAATATTGAAACATGCTTCAAAACTGTGATTTCTTCTTTCGAAAATAAAACTCCTGCCTTCTAAATATTAAATTGTTTCTTACCAATGATTGAAACACAAGTGGACCATATTTGTCAGTGTTGTCATCCAGAATGGAAAACAATGTGTCTAAAATATCTTGTAGAAACTAAAATAAAAAAGGAAAACACATGAAAACATTTTTTAGCGACATTTCATTTTTTTCAGCAGGAGAAGAAATTTCTATCCTTTGTTATACTGACAATTTCAAAGAAAATTATTAGTGGCCACGTCTTATTTTGCCAAAGAAGTATGCTGTTGTTAAATAAAGCATGCAGGAGATGTCGACCATCTGCAAAAACTAACTGCAGTTTAATTTTACTCCATCATTATAATTTCAAGTTAACCCCTCCAGGTGGGAACTGAATACTGAAAGAAGCTTCTCACTTTAACAATCTCTTCACCACTGACGAGCCGCAGGCGACCCAGGATGTCCATCACTCTGTCTGGGTGAGCCTTCCACTTCAGCAAGGCCAGGAGGTCCACTGAAGAAAGAGATACTCGGTCACTGCAAGCAAAGGCTAGGATATCTACCTGTGGGACAGTTCTAGCTCAACATTTATCTCCTCCAACAGAAACCCAATGTGCGGGAGTCTCTAGCAATTACCATTCTGTGTAAGTTTGGTGGAGGACAGCTGTGTGGTGATCCAGAGTGTCTCCTTGGTGCTGCGCTGGAAGATGAGGCTGGAAGGGATGTTGGGACAACCATTGAAGTCCTCTTTACAGCAGGGCAGGCCCAGGTAGAGAGCATGGTTACTGAAGGTGGTGTTCTCGTCACACTGTCAACACCAAAACAAGCCCATTCAAAAACTGACCACTGGCAAGGCTCAAAAGAGGTCTTATACACAGCCCTGTTTCAATAAAACAAGCATGCTTGATAGATATTATATGCATAATTGTGACTAAATGGGAGAAAGAATTATGTGCATATGGAGACTCATTCATTTAATATGGCAGGACTTTGTACTTTATGTATTAATTGCTTGATAACTGACCACAGTATTGAAACCCATCCAGTGGTATACAACATAGGCTTTGCCAGAGGTACTGTATTCCAGCTTTTGTGCTCTAACCTTTTTCTATTGTCAGTTCTTTTAGGTTTAGGCTTCTTATGATTCAAATACTTGTAGTTTTAATTGCTTTGAAGTGGGTTTGAGTCTTGTCTTGTAAAAGATAGTCACCAAGGCAAATAAGGATTGATTACCAGTAGGGATACCAATAAAAAAATGCTATATTAATGAGGTTACGCAAATTTTTGTTTCATATGATCAGAATACATTACTATTTTCATCTGCTGGAGCCACAGCAGAAATATTTCTAATAATGAAGCTACTAATACTATTTCTATCTCTAATATTGGATATTCCTAATACTACACAAAAGTAGCATGCACTGAGTTACCAAAGTGAATCTAACTCACTTAAGTTGCAAAATATGTCAATTAGACTTTCAAGACTGTGTATGATTTACTGTTAAATTTACATGCTCCACTTCATATGCAGGAAAGTAAAACAAAAAAAAATGTTACCAAAAGCATGTAACAATAGAGAGGTCCTGAGATCAAATATCTCAAAACAATCCTTTTTCTTTTTCAGAGCCTGAATTCAAACGATTTGGTGGCAGAGTGTTTTGATGTTAAAAGCAAAGACCACTACTAGTACATCAACCTTTCAAGAAATCTGTGTGCTGCATTAACTGTTTTATATACTCCTTTACAAAACAGAATCTAACATAGACATCATAAAGCAAACCAGACACTTTGTTCTAATTAATCCTTGCATTTCCACTGTCCTTATAATCAAAGTAATCTTCACTATTTATGCTCACCTTGTAGACATAAAGCTCATGGCTTTCATCTGACAGAGTTGTGCCATCCTCTCTCATCAAGGGCGTGAAGGCAAATCCAAACAGCTTCTTCTCTCCCTTGTCTTTCGCTATGACAAGCACAAATAAATGTAATTTAAAAGGATGAAAAACTCTTTGATTGCTGACTTACAAATACAGTGTAACTCACTTCAAGTAGATCCCAAAAAATACTTGACATTAGAAAATGATTACTGGAGGTCCCTTACTTTTTAGTATTCCAAGATAAATCCTAGAATAGTTAAGGATTTACATGGAATAAAATGAGGAAAAACAGAGAAGCTCAAACAACTCCAGTGCTGAGTGCTAACATGAAGGACTGAAAATGAATCGCAGACTAACATGACCAAACAGTAAATAAAAAACTTTGTCTCATTTTTTTCATATATTGTTTTTGTTGTTCACAGTTTTGTCTGACAGAAAACCAAAGACAAGGGTTTACATCTCCATGCATGTGTCAAATATTTTCCAAGTAAAGCATGCTTCTGTTTTCCAGATTTTCACTGTGGTTTGTTATTTTTCCCTACACCTCCAATCAGACAGAAAAGTAAGGTAAAGAGCACAGGGGCCCCACTTGAGCAGTGTCTGAACTCGAAGCGCAGGTGAGACCCACGGAACCGATCGACGGGGATAGGCAACTTGATGACCTCGCTCCAGCGGGGGCTGTTGTTGTGGTAGAGCACAAAGGATCGGTGTTCACTCATACTGGGCTCCCCTGACCCCAGACTGATACAGTCCTGACACAGGGCGAGAGAGAAATCAACAATGTAGGTAGGCGTCAATATTTATTTCGGGGAGATAAAAGGAAATCTTACCAGCGGACAAACGTTTACATTCTTACATATGCATAAAATATTGCACGTCTTTGTCTTGCAAAGCTCGGCAAGCTCTATAATTCAATCTGCCTCTTTCAAATGAACATGGCTCCAACAATAACATTTTGCAGATCTATTGAAGTGTCACATAGCCTTTCACCAGGCTGTCAATTATTGCATTGTAACAAAATCTTGAATATGTCCATTGACATTTAAAGATAAATAGAAATACTAAGACTAATGAATAAGATATGAAATAATGGAAGTCCATGACAATACAAAGAGCAATCATAAATTCCCTCAACTTGATCTGTCATTTTGAAGTAAAATATGCCTTCATTTTAGTGTAAAATATGAAAGGTTTCAGACAAACATTGATGCTTCATATCATGAAAGTGGTAAACCACAATGAACAGAGGTTCCTGTGAGGCAGGAGAGAGGCCACAATATCAAGGGCAATAATGGATAAACATTAATCAATATTAACATGTAGCTGACCTTACAGTAAAATTAGAGGACATAAGCTTATTCTTAGACCCACTCACTTATTTATTTAAATTGTTAAGTGAGTACACTATGACTGGAGTCCTGAACATAACTTGTAAAAATAACAATTTAAACATCTCTTACTTTAAGTATTTCTCCATCTGCGTAAAGGACGTACACTGTGATCTCGACGTTCTTCTGAACACTCTTCCCCCCTCTCTCAAAGTCACCTCGCTCCAAGGTCAGGTAAAGGTCATTTCGAATGTCACCTAGACAACAGTGACAAATTACTGTATGTGAGACAGGTCTCACCTCCATGGGAAATGAGAGTTTATCAATGAAAATATTGCATGCCACCAAAGACTTGATCCTGTTACTTTTTTTTAACGCAAATAATAAACAGAGCATTGACATTGGCCATCACTTCGATGAAGCGTAGAACGAAAGCATTGCAGAGCCAGGTGCAATGGGTATTAAGAGTGACTCTAGGCCTTGTGTGATTCAAGCAGAGAAATCCACCACATCAAATGGCCGGGCCTTCTGTTATAGGATAATTCAACATTATTCAGGTTTTAAAGTTTAGTCTAAACTTTCTTAATTAGTGATCCCTGTTACAAATACAAACACAGAAATGTAAAAGTTGTGTATTAAATCACAAATTGTTTTTAATTGTAATATGGAATATGAAAATAAACATGGATACTGAGAATCTAGGAAGTACTGAAAACTTATAATTCTGTGAGAGAGGAAAGCTGAGGTCCAGTATATGTGTATATAATGTTCATAGTAATAGGTTTTTTCCATGCTGAAAAAAAAGAAGAAAGAAAACAACGTTTTGGCCGAAGAAGGCTCCACGGCCAAAACATTGTGTTTTCTTTCTTCTTTTTTTCAGCATGGAATAAACCTATTACTTGTTCCTTTATAATGTTCATAGTTTACAATACATTGTGCTACAGTATGTATAGATCCCTGCCATATTAACATGGGATACATTGCTGCAGAAATAGTATAACCTTGTCAACAGTGTGGGACACACACACCTGTATCTAGCAATATGACTTTAATAGTTTTGCAGGATTTGATGCAAAACCATTTATCATAAGAGAGGTGAACATATAAAAAATATAAAAATGAGTCTGAAATTGAACTGTTGAGTAGCAGAGGCTGTTTTGCTACTGGTTGCAAGAGGGCTACAATAACCTTTTATTCAAGAGTACCCAAAGTGCATTGTTGAACTGTTTTTTAACGTCCCTCATAAAACTGAATCTAACCTACAATATGCATCATAAGGCAAACCAAGATGAGATGGTGAGATAATGTCAGATGATCAAAGTAATGGCTGATATTTTTCCAGATATGCCAGCATTATGGGTAGAATGCTCATTTCTGTTTGGCAGAGCTCTGTAAATCTTAAACTAAGGCAAATAAAAATAAAAAGAGTGTAAATATAGAGGCAATGTTAGAAGCTGGTGATTTAGTTCATGGGAACATGAGCTGTGTTTATCCAATCTTCTCCAGGGACTAAGACGAAAACCGAGAAGAATAACAGAAAAGATTCAAGTGGAGTGGTATTTTAAAAGAATTAATTTACTCATTAATTATTTACCCCAGGCAACCACTTTGGAGCACATCCAATTAATTGTAAAGGTCACTGTCATCCTTCTGGTGCACAGTCTGAAATCCCTTACTTGTGCACTCTGTCAACAAGCCCTAATTATGATCATGTTCAATACAGCCCACTGAAGAATTTCTTTAAACACCTGTTAAACCAAGTGAATTATTTCTGCACTGAAGCACCATGTTATTTTTGTTTTCCCTCAAATGGAAAAAAGTAATAATTAAACAGGCCTCTTCTGATGGAGTATGAGCATTAAGTATCAAAATATAAGGTACTTCTTTATTTACTCCCCAGATCAAATTAGTTTCTTACCTTTACTGAACTGCAGGGGATGTAATCTATTCAATGAGCTATGCTGTAAATTCCATGTCACAACATTTACAAACAATCGCAAGTTATATCCTTTGTGAAGCCTCATGGGGCTGAGTCCTCAAGGGGTGGTGCCTTCACTGTGGACTTCTGCATTTTTTCTGAATCACGGGTGGTTTGACAGGACCCCAGCAATCACTGAAGCAGTATCAGCTACGCATCCTGCTCCAAGGAAGATAAATAGAGCGCCGAGCAGAGAAGGAGACATTGTTGACAAGGAGCTGTATCCTAGGAGGAGCCCTGTCAGATCTCCCAGCCTTTAACCAACACAGACCCAAATATGTTCCTCGTTTGAAGTTTTGCTACAAAACCCATTATTATTCCCCAGCCTGGAGAAGAACCAGCACTGGGGTTATTTTTTCCCATTGAGTAGGCTGTTATTTTTCCCCTCAGCAGGGTTGTTATGAATGATTATTTTTACCAGAGGACAAGACTTGCATAAATAAAACCCTTATTTTTCTATACAAATCTTGTGTGTGGGTTGTGTGTCCATCTTCGGGGCCCACCTACAACCTGCCCCATTGTGGGTTGGTGCATGCAGCATATATTCTATGAATTCTAACAGCTACCACACCTCTATGTAAATGTACATTACCTAAAAGCATCAAAACTCTAAGCACCAAAGAAGCATCTACTCACTTTTTAATTAAATTATTTATCTTTATTTCCCCAACAGGCATACTGTCCAATCCACAGTAAGTGATTCAGGTGGGCCTACTGTTTGCCAACAGGGAAAACTGTTGACTGTTTTTACTGCACCTATTCTTTTTTCATTTTCTTTTACATCCTTTTGGGAAACAAGTCATAATTTTGAGCTATTAAAACAATATGCCAACTGAACCCAGCTACACTTACAATACACTTATAATAATTTACAGTATGATTTATTTATGTCAGTAGGTATTATGTCTTCACAAGTTGTAACATGACCTTAGACCTATTATCCATGTTAGAATCAGGATTATGAACATTTCTGACTGACACAGTTTTCTCTGATGTATACTGCATTGTTAACAATATGTCTGGAATATCTTAGATCAGTGTTTCTAACTGACCTTTTTGGACTGAAGATCCCTTTTCCGGCCAAGCTGTATCGTTGTGCCTTTTATTTATACTGACATAAAAGCAAACTGATATATAGTAATTGTCAATGTATTAAAATATGAAAAATTATGCAATGGTTTAGCAATAAGTTTACCTTGCTTTGCCTATGATTACTCATAGGCCATCCTTTGAAAATGAGATGATTCTATCAATCTCAGTGGCATTTCCTATAGTATGTCCAAAGCATGTTATTTGATTCTGCAAGGATCTGCTATATCTGTGAAGCTCCTGCTGCTTTTTATTTAAACCTTGTTTATAAGGTAACTGACTTCATAACTGTAATAGCAGAGTTTCCATTTGACTTTTTCCAATTGCAACATGCAACACTTTGAAAAAGGTTAGAAAACTGAAAGACTTATGTGTGTACTGTGTATATTTCTACAGAAACAGCCCACCTGTTAGAAAGGTTTTACAATGGGACAATGTATCTCATCTATCACACAAATTGTACATTTTGCAAAAAAAAACAAGATTTGGTTTTATTTCTTTATTTCAAATGTTCTTTGCTCTTTGAATAGAGGCATATTACCTGAAATCTCCATGTTGCTGGAGAACATGATTCAAATAGGTCTTTAGACCACTGGAGCATAATGTTGGAATGTGTGAAGCAACATTAATTAGTTAATGGACATAGATAAGGCTCCAGGAGTGCTTTGCTCAGAGGTATGTTTAGATCTGCGAACAGCAATTGAACAGCAAATATAACCCTACCTAAGGTAGTTGTGATTTCAAATTCAAAACACTGCTTCCACATACTGTACCTACAATAAACTGAATGATCTTTTTTGCTTTTATGGAAATACAGATACATATCATCTTACTTTCAAATATAAGAAAATGTTTGGGGTCACTGTCCTCTCATTCATTGATACCATTCATGTACATTAATGCAATATAACATGACCAAGATACACATATTTCTAGTTACCAACAGCACAGACATCAACAATAATCCATCCATCTCTTTATCAGACATTTTAGAGTGAAAGCTCTACAGCATAACTAGAAATAGTATTGGAAATAGAGTTATAATACATATATTCATTCTAATATTCACATATTCTACATGTATAATAAGTACTTTAATTTTTCAGCTCAGTTGCTTCAGAAACTGCAAAAAAAGTTTTTGTCTGAGTCAATTATCTTTTTTATATAGCTAGTTTCTGCTTTGTAATGTACAGTATGTCTCTAATGCATCTGTTCCATCCCAGAGTAAAACAAATTAAAAACACTCACTTGCTTTTCTGGACTCAGTTTGGGATTTTCACCCAAGTGTGATTAGTGTCAGAATTTTTAAGATGCAAATGTGCACTGGACAAAACCGAAGTGTTCTTCAACAAACCCAGTTTCCTTTGATACCATCATTAATATGAAGATCTTGCTCGCTGTATCACCTGAAAGTACACAGCCACCACCACACTCATTCAAGGCCCCTCAGGACAATTCCGGATCACCCAGACAGCATGTTGTACCTCCAGCAACCTTATTTACTGTATCTCTTGCAGTAAATGCCCAGCCATCTACATTGGAGAAACAGGAAGGAGACTCGGAGACCGCTTCAGAGAACACGTCAGGGCTGTGAAGATTAAAGATCTCTCCGAGCCCATTGTTTCTCATTTCACCTCTGACGGCCACGACCACACTAATCTCTCCGTCTGTGTTCTCAAAGACGGTTTTCCGAACTCATACATCAGAAAGACCACCGAAACTAAAATTATTCTGCAGTTAGGATCACACATTCTCCCTTCCCTTAACGACAGATTACTGTTCTTTTAAATTTTCTCCATTCATTGGAAGTTTCATTTCACACCTCTCTGCACCCATTCTGACTTCACACCTCTTGATTGGCCTCTCTTTCTGTCCCCTGCTCCCGCCTCTCACTCCTCCTCCCTCCCAACCTTTGTTCTCCCGCTACTTTACCTTTGCCTACTGCCCTGTCTCTCTCACACCTGAAGAAGGCTCCATGGCCGAAACGTTGTGTTCTCTTTCTTCTTTTTTTCAGCATGGAATAAACCTATTACTCGTTAGTATGAAGAAGGTGAGTTTGGGGTGTTACATAAGATAGCCCTCATGCTGTTCTGGTACTGGTACAAGAAAGAGTAGCTCAATAACAAGCAAGCCAGAACCTCCTGTAGCTGTAATGTTTCAGTGAAGAATTCAGCTTGGAAACAAAATCAAACAAACTGCTGCTTTTCTATTAGAAACAAGGAACATTTCAAATGATACCTTCAGTTTAATCAACAAAACAACTTGAAATTCAAAGTCTCAAAAGGCAAAAATTCTGAGATGCAGTCAATGTGGAAAGTTCTGATATTGTAATTCATACCCCAAAATATTTTTAAACCTCAAACCTTATAAATTATTTCCTAATACTACACTGGGCTGGCAGTCCAAAACTATAAGAAAAAGAAGTTTATAAATATTATTTGGTCAGTGTGCTGACTACAATAACATCATAAAAATAGATCCCTAAACACAGAAATACAAGACACAATTACAAAAAACCTTGAATTCTAGCAGTTCGGTTCAAAGTGACATTTTGTTTGTAATTTATAAGTATTGAAATTAATGAGAAAGCTGGGATAAGTACAGTTGATAACATGCTGCATAACAGTGTCGCTGGCAACGTATTCATGTACATCTCATTGGCAATAAAAGAGAAGAAGCAGTTCTACTAACACAAGGCATAAGGCCATAGGTGGAGTGAGAAAGCATTGCAATCTTTGTGTGAGAAGTGACTATATTGATTCTACTAGGATTGTACTGGATTAAGGGCCATTACCACACATCACAGCTTCAGGCATATGATTAAAGGTTTTCTGAAGGGGTTATTCAAAGTAAACCACCATGATGTTAAAGTGTTTCTGTAAGGCTGACCAAAGCATCAGTTTCACTGCATTGGCTCATTCCATGCAGACAAATCACTGTAGAGGTATAAAGAGGAACGAGCTGACACAGAGCGAGCGAGCCAGAGACAGGCACAGGCACTTACACCCAACTATCTTCATTTCTGCACCATGGAGACAGACAGAGTGGACAGTGGACAATAGAGGCACCAGGAGAATCAAGAAAGAGAAACAAAGATCACTGACAGGTTGTAGATAGGGATCCCCAAACCAATACTTTACTACATGAAATCCAGTTTCTAAAAGGCTGGAAAACTCAGGTTTGATAATATTAACTTTATTCTAAATATCTATGGACACCTTACCAAACATTTTAGTATATGAAGAGCCCCATTTAAAAAATAAATCTAGGACAAGTGGGGATTGGCAACACCCGCAGGTTTGAGATGCACTAAGACAAATGTTTTAAAACAGAAACTGGAGTTTTCACATGCAGAGAAAACCGGGCTTATCTAATATTGAAGGAAAGGGAGAAAGTTAAGGATAGTGAACAGAATATTGATCAAGCCAAAGCTAAATAAAAATCCAGTAACCCCAATGAAGAAATGTTAGGAACAGTGACAGCATGCCAGTGCAGTTCAAGTCCTGAGTTAGGGGATTAATCAAGTGTACCATGCTGTAGAAAGCCAGATTGCCTACAAGCATCACCCAGCTTCCTGCCTACTCGCAGTTTTGCCTTTTTGGAATTTTGAAAAACCAAACAGGAAGAGGGCTCATCAAACTGGAGAACCTTAATTTGCTCTGCACTACAAACAAATTGACTGTGGTTCAGGTTCCTAAAATCTGAAGCAAATTAAAACTTAATAACAGTAACTTGATGCCCAAGTGCATCACAAATACACTCAGTTAACATTATATTGTATGGGAGCTAACCACAGGGAATGGAATTTGAAATAGTAGCCCAGTGAAATAGTACCAGCCAGCTGCATCAGGATGTGGTAATGACCTTTTTACTGTTCCCCTCAGTATGAGAAAGCCAGGGGCTGCTAAGGCACAACAAAATCATAATCCATACAGGAGCACATACTGGCAGACAGTTGGGGCAGCAAAACGTTATTTCAGTCAAACATCCTAAAATTAATTTGACAGCAGTCCAAACTGCTAGGATGGTCCACAATATATTTTTTATATATTTTTAGCTACCTGGCTTCAGATTTTATAAACTTACTTTAAGTGGTTGGTAGGGGTGATTGTGAAAGTTTTCTAAAGCTGAATTGCTGAACTGGAGAGGTTATTACTGTTTATACATTGACTCCACATTTTTTTATAATGGAATTTTCTCAAAACACAGTTTAAAAACTCTTAACACTATTAATATCTGCTAAGCTTCTTCAACTTCTTGTTAAGCTTTTCATTCAAACACGGATCAAAACTTTCATTACTTTTTATGAGGGTTAGTAATTATAATATGAGGTACATTTTATTTAAGTGAGCATTCTAATTATAAGAATTCCATTGTTAAATATTAAGAAAAGCAGTGTTTTCTATACATTTCATACCATAAGCCAAACAGCATGCAATCATGGTGAAGTGGAGTAAAGCACACATAGATTAAGATACTGTACTTGTGGGGACTACCTTACAACAAACATTCTGTTTTTATCTATTTTACTGCATAATACTAATATTTTCGACACTTGAAGATGTTAAAGACAATCTTCTTCATAAAAATACACTGTGGAGATGTCCCCATGTGGCCTACTTATCAGGAGACGCTATCTGGGGATCATCAAATTCTGTTGCCATATTTTTGTATATGTAAATTCTGTAAATTGTAAATTCTTTGTAGCCATATGTCCCCTAACACACAGCAGAAAAGTGGTTAAAATACACTCATGCCAGCAGGCAGTCAAACAGCAGCCCTAACACCACCCCCGAGCCAAAGATCCTATTTCTCTTTCTTACCAGGCATGATGACGTCAGGGAAGCCCAGTTTGCGGGTAATCGCCACACCTCTGTTGAAGATCATGGGGTTCTCTCTTCTTATCTGCTCCATCTCCCCTCGCAGTAACTGTAGGGAGATGATAAGGCCTAGGGAGGGTGAAAGAAGGTTTTAGCACAAGTCAAACCTGAGACATCTACAGGCCTCAATGATTCTTAATTGTTGGCAATTGTGGCTTACCACTACCTTCACCTAAAACATACAAAATTAAGCTACTTCTGGCTCTCTGTCTGTTAATTTATCTATGAGCTCATGCTTTTCACAATATTGTGCAGACCAGAGTGAACAATGCAATTCTTGAGACAGGTGCATTTTCATATGCCCAGATTAGTTAGAATTGTGTCCCAGAACATACTGTAGCATTTTAAGAAAATGGCAAACAATATGACAAAAAATGTTCTCATAGTTTATAGTCATTTGTTATTAGAGTAGTCAAGATTTTATCATTTTTCATGTGGGTGTAAATTTTAACCAGAATACTATACTTAGCATTAGGTATCAGCAGTAAATGCCTTATATTCATTAATCGTAAATTACTGCCCTTAGTCCATGAAGATTCATTGGATAAGTCACACTTAAGACAATTACAGACCAATCCTGCAGGTCTCAGGTAAAAAAAAAAAATCAGGTAAAATATTTATTTTTTCATGAAAAACACCTACACATTTCAACTGCTAATGTTCTTGTTGATTAAAGAGATGGTGTTTAAGAATAAAAATGTTACAACTGTATGATCTAAATAATTTTATACTGTGTAATTTCTTTTCTTACATGTGCTGCGTCAATTGTTTGAGCAAAATTCCCTTAGTGATCATAACTAACCAAGCAGCTGGAAACTTAGAGAACAGCTATAAAAAACAAATACGTCAGCTGAATGACCACATACAGTGTACAAATGCTGCCCACAGTTTATTTAAGCTTTATTATAATTGTTTGCTCTGTGTCATATCATCAGCTGCTTCCATTTGTATTACTTGATAAAGAATGCACAGATGAAATTAGGTTTCTGACTGTGATCATCAAACAGCAACAAAATGGAAGTCTTGACAGCTTAAGCACTCCCCACTGCATTTTTTCCTCTTTCCTGTAGTTCTGATAGCTGACTGCAGAAAGAACACTGACTCTTTTTAGATACCTACAGAGAGAAGCTTTGCTTCATTGCGGTTTTTCTCACAGGGGAGAGCACATTCACAGAGGCATTGGATTTCTACTGAGTTCCGCTACCAGCAGAGGAGAAGGAAGTGTGTCTCCTGGCAGTTATTAAATGAGACAGCCAAGCTTTATGTTGTGTTCATTTGTGCAGTCTGCGTAGCATCTTCCTAACTACAAAAAGCATTGCAAGAAAATGCAGTTATTTGCATTCAAACTGCATTTCAGTGCCTTTGATCCTACTGAAAACTGGAGGCTGGAGAATGACTCTTACTATTGCATTATATTGCTGATATTTCTTTGTCAGTATATGTAAAGCCATATTCATAAAATATTTACAACCTATATCTGTACTTTTGCAGATATTATGGGGCCCCCATACTCAAGATTTTTGAACACGTGTTCTTTTATTTTAAAAACTGATTTATTTTAATGTTGGAGTTATGTATATTTTTTTAATATACATAATATACATACAAACATAAAAACTGGATATTGCATATAAAACATGAACATATCCAACATTATACTGTACATGACTGAAGACAAGTTCATGTTTATTTGCTGTTTAAAGCAGTATCTGTAATAATGAGGTACTAGCTGGAACAAATCTGAATGTGGAAGAGGTGGTCTAAGGACAGTTTTAAAAACTGTAAAAATATGCAACACAATGAAGATGTATGTGCTATACAAACCTTTCTGCATGATAATGTCAGAGTCCTTTTTTGGATTTTCTTTTTTTATTAAGCTCTAGTTATTTTGATTATTTTTGGCAGAAACTGACAGATAATACAAAAGGAATTAAAAGAATTGGAATTCCTATGTAAAAATATCTCTTCAGCATTGAAATTGGTTTTTTACCTATTAATTTTTCTTTGTAATATGATAAAGTGTCCGTGGGTAACCCATTGAAAGCCTGGAACATTCTCTGCAGACTGGGATACTAGAAGACTTAGAATCGCAAACGTAAAACGAGTCATAGATTCTATAGTGCAAACAACACCAAGGTATGGGAAAAGTCTTTAACAACCAATTATTTAACATTATTAGAGTTTTGTTATACCTATTCAGCTTTAACTGAGGAAACTTATTTGTTACAACTGTCATCTTCCGTATAATGCAGTGCACACCATCTAAATCTCCTGCTTCTAGTCAGCAGCAGAATCTCTGATCTCAGCCCATTTAGCCCTGTGGCCTTCTGAAGTGCTTTACTGCAGCCCTGGGATCACATACATTTTTAAAGTCAATTAGATGGATATCCATCTGTGTGTTTAACTGATGTGACTTCAATTGTGCGTCAGTTTAATGCCCTCAGCAGTGAAGACGCATGACAGATCAGCTGGGATGGGATCCGAATGGAATATTTATGTTTCCTCTCTTTATATTTGAACATAAAGCTCAAAGAAGTGCAGGTGGGCAGACCTGTCCTTTGTAATCAAGGCAGGCCTCTCAAAATAAAATGTGGCAGCAACTAAATCTTACATCTATGTTGGATATGGAGATAAGTACAAAACAATAACTTGATCTGTGACAAAATTATCTGAAAATAGCTTTGATATTTGTAGTAAGCATCTTACACTTGGGTGAAGCCGACTGCAAAAAGCGTATGTTTGCATCCCGTGTTTCTACAGAATACATAAAGCAGTTTAAAACATGAAAGAGTTAGAAGACATTGTCTGTCCCTTTTATGTGAATAGGTTATCACTAATAATGCACTGCTCATTAGTATGTATGTAAGAAATTATAACAACAATTACAAGACAAAAGGAAACTAGGGATAAATACTGTAGGTTGTGTTGCTTTTTTTTTCTCATCGTCAGTAGTTAATGCTGTTAACTACTGTCTGTTAATTATATTTGCAGGTATTTCCCGCCTTCCTATGACATGTCTATATATAGCAGACAGTTGGATCAGCCTTGAAAATAATAGTTATGCAGAACACCGCTGTAGAATTAATTGGGTCTGCATACACCTGTCAAATGGAATTACTCAATGGTCACATCATTTTCTCTTCACTGTCTGCTGTGGCAGTTGGTTACTGACCAGAGCAAGTTTGATAATACTGTCTCTGAGTTCGAGAATAACAGTCACTCTAGCAACCAAACAAAATAGATGGGCTGAATGACCTTCTTTCAATAGTAACCATTTTTATTGACATGTTTTCCTCTTCATTGCTCAAATGTTTCATATCTCATTTAAACGAGTCAACAATTTTAGTGTTATCACTACCTATCAACAATTGATTTTAAAAAGTTCATCTTGTTTTATGTTTTTGCAAATATCCCTGATTCTATTTTCATACTTTCACTACTGCTATTAGAATAGTGTTATTTATGAAGCATCATGTACAGTATATCACACCTTCAATACAGTTCACTCAGACAATGAGTCCGATCTGTTGTCCTCTCCAAAATACACACACTTACTAATCAGACATTTCAAATATATTATCGGCAATAAGTGCTGGAAAGAAATTCAATGATTACTAATAATGATTAATTACTAATAATATGAAAATAGCTTGATATTTTGTTAACTGGGAAAATATTTTTATATTGATTTTAAATACTGTATACAGTATTTACAGTAGGAGGTGTGTGTTCTTAAACAGCTTATGTCATACACATAAAGGTTCTCCTAACCTAACGCAATGCAATGAAAGTTACCGTAATTGGTGCTGGGTGCTGTGTACTTGGTGCTTGATTTTCTGATGATGTTTTCATGGATCTGGTACCATTCATTTTCATTATTACAGCTGAAATGAGAAGAAATATAATTTAGTGGTGAACAATACTCTAGTCAGTATTAGGCTGCATAGTAATAGAAAAAGATATTCCCAATAAAGTTGTTTTCTTCCTCTCCTGATTAATATCTCTATCTATTGCATTATACCTAAGACCCAGTATGTCAATAGAAAGGAAATCAAGATTCTCTGATTCTGACTATTTGAAAGGCCAGGTAGCAGCCAAACAGAAAATACATCTGAGGCTTTCATGTTACCTTTTCAGATGGATCTAAATTCTAGTATTCATTTTTTTCATGCTACAGTATACCAAATTGTGTAACTCTAGCATGCTCGGAACAAGAAAAAACAGATCAAGTATTCAATTACATGCCATGTCCTGTTATATTAATTTATCCTTACTCAAAAGACAACCTATGCCTGAGGGTCTCAGAATAAGTCCAAAATAACTTTTTCAGAATACCGCACTGCTCATTTATGGTTTTCTAGGATTTTAGAGGTGGGCCTGCAGTTCATGACCAGAAATTGTGTTGGGTGAATTAATTATGCATCGTGATTCCTAAGTACATGTAGTTTCTTACAAAGGCTAATCATTACATTCTGTTCATCTTTGCCCTTTGCATTCAAGCAGTTTCCAAGCAACGGATTCCTCCTTATGTAAAGTAATGACAACATCTGCGACACATACTAGCTTTATATAAGCAGGAAAATAAACAGCAGTATTTATATTATAGTATGCTCTGGATAAATCAAACATGACAAATACATTTCTGTCGTATTACTGGTAAAAAAAACGCACACACACAGATTAGAAGTACAAAACTGCTTCCATTAACAACAAACACATCACAAGCATTTGCAGTTAAGGTAGACACATTACTAAATGGCAGTCGAAAGAAAACAAGGTCAGTCCTCTTAGCAGTGCTGAAAAGGGAAATTTCCGTTTTCAAGAAGTTAAATGGTCTTTGTGCAGAGCCCTGCCTTGTGGATTGTAGTACATCAGCATGGACTGGTCTTTATTAAACTATGTTGCTTTTGGTGAATCATCATGAAACAAGTTCCAGCTTTTTTTACCATTACATATGTAGACAGCATCATCATTTTGGGAAATGATTGAAAAGTATAGTTCAAAAAGTACAGTACATCAGAGTGCAATTGACATTGACATTTAGTAGGTAAATGGAGCACTATGAAATAAAGGGGCCACATACATTCAACTTAAAAGAGGACATATTATAAGGTTTATTAAACATATTGGCTTTGCTTATATCACAAGTTCACATACTGTAGCTAGGATGTACAAAATGTAGCTTGTGATTCATAAAGATTTAAAGATGACAATAATTGCTTACTAGTACTGTATATTGCTTAAATGTGATGACAATGCAAATGGACAAATTTGGATTTTCTCAAGAACAAAGTATTAAGTTCTTCTCACAATGCAATATACTGTACAAAGCAATGGTACAGTACAGTATATAGTAATATCTCCACATTTGTATCATAGATGAGGGTGAGACATTTTGAAAAATAAATCAGTGGGCAAATAAAAAAAATGAAACCTCCAAAATCAACAAACATAAAGAATGATAATAATAATGAATGAAAAGATGAAGAAGCCAATTTGGCACCTAAAGCTAGCTGCTGGTCCTGTAGTCCAGAATCACAGACAGTTGGACAACGGACAATTTTAAACTTTCTTCTAAACTGAAAGACTGGTATTACTATATACATGCAGCTTTAATATTAAGCCTTTTGCACATTGTTTGCACATCGTTGTTTATTGTTGCATAATTATTATGAGGGAATACATCAATACAAGTGTCCAAGATGTTGCAGGTTCAGATTATATAAGACATTTTGGCAGGACATAAGAATTGACTCAATCCAGAAGGTTTCTTAGTGTTTACAGATGATACAATCAGAACTGTGTTCATAAAAATGAAAAAAAAAAAGTTCTTCCTATATATGTTCTTGTACAAATATACAGTACAGTATGTAATTGGAACATACCTATCAGGAAAACAGTAATTTATCTTTTCACTGCCAAATTGTCCAATGATTTAGATATTCAGTGAATACCCATGTAAGAAAAACAAACCCATACTTAGAATAAAAATGGGAAAAGGAAGAAAAGTATTTTCCTAAGGGTAGATCCTTGGAGCTTTGAAATTCTAAAATTTGCAGCAATTATCAAAACCAACAGGCAAAAAACATGTAAAAGGCATAAAAGATAATTGGCTTCCTTAAGGAAATGATGTTGTTTTAGACTGGCATTCACAGCTAAGGAATGACAGTGGCCTGGCTGTTAATGAATTACTTTATGTACCCATTGCTACAAAACAACACAGCATGGGCTTCTAATTGTATAATTGTGAAATCTTGGTAATGCGTATTGTGATGAGGTTTTTCAAAGTGTTTCAGGGCCCCCTACTGTCTTATCAAAGCCATTTTCTCACGGCATTGTACACGAAGGCCATGAAACGAATGCTTGTTTGGAAGTGTGACTCATTGATCTGAAATGCAAACAAATAGTTTTTAATTTTATTCAGAGTCCCTGCCTTCAACTGTCTTGTAGTGATCCATGTAGAGACCATCAAGTCTTGATTAAGCTCATTCTTCTCACTTTCTCATTTTTAACCATGATATCCAAGAAGGCAACATACAAACAGCTGTATGAAGGGGTCTGGTAGGATCCCAGGAATCCATTAGTGAAGCTGTTCATCTGCACAACTAAATGGCTGTGGAGTGCTACCTTTTAATAGTACTGCTAGAAACGTTACAGACATTCTTTTCTAAGAGAGCATTTAGAGAACCTTTTGCAGCATTCTCATTCAAGGTCTAATGTTTAATCACTGCCATCCAGAAAAGCCTCTTGAATGGCACACCATTTTTACTTCATACTGCAAATGAGTTGGTCATTATTACTACCAATCTACTGGAAATAATTTGGAGGAGGAATATAATTGCCTCCTGTCTGAATATACAGTAGGTATTTTTGTATAACTAATGTTTTTTTTGTTTTTTTGTTTTCTAAATGCCATAATGAATTGTATTGCATCATGAATTTAAAAAAAATGAAGTAACTGAGAAGTTGTTGAGTTACAAAAGCATTCCTAATACATATCTTCCGAGTACAACTGTTTAGCTTCACTTTTTTTTAAATTTAAGACATACTAATATTTATACTTTTCATGCTGACTTTTCAGTCCAGATCACTGGTATAACAGCATGCTTTTGGTTATTTTCATTAAAAAATAAAGTAGGATTATCACATTGTAGTTTGGCCTTTGAGATCTCACAAGCTAAGCAAGGCTGGGAATGGTTAGTAGTGGGATGGGAGGTCTCTAAGAAAAGAAAACAGGCTGCTGTTATCAGTGGTGTAGGTGGACCAGTAGTTTTCTGGAGGAGGTACCTTCCTTTGCTGGTGAGCAGGAGTGTCCAGGCTAAATTGCACCTTGAGTTTGCACCATCTGGCCAAGAGCCTGAGTGTAAATCCCCCCTTAATTCAATTGGGGAAGTAATTTCTCATTTATTCATGTGAGCTGCTCTGTAATGAGGTTTGCAGGGTGCATAATTGCATAAAGGTTGTGACAGCCCGCTGGGTTATACTCTTCAGTAGTGGTTAAGTGAAACCCTCCTACTGTATATGTAAAGACCTTTGCGTTCCATCTATCCATTTTCTAAGTGCTTTAATTCAATTCAGGGTCGTGAGAGAGCCAGAGCCTATCCTGACAAGCAATGGGAGTAAGGTGGGATACACCCTGGGTGGAATGGCATTTCACTGCAAGGCACAATCAGACACAAACACAAACTGACCATGGTACTACCAGGTCCACAATTAAAACCAGACCCCCAGCACTGTGAGGCAGCAATGTTAACCACTATTAATAATAATAATAATAATAATAATAATAATAATACTTGCTTACACTTATATAGCACTTTTCTGGGCACTCCACTCAAAGCGCTTTACAGGTTATGGGGACTCCCCTCCACTACC